AACAAATATTTATAAATGATTGAATTATAAAACTGGGATTGGATTCAAAATAATCCAGGGGAGGGAGAATAATTGTAAAGAAAATGGTAAAATGAGATTAGCTACGAGTTGCTAACTGTTGAATCTGGATGATGGGTTCATAATGGTTTATATGCTCTTCTTTTCTGAGTATGCTTAAAACTTTCCACAAGTGATTTTTTTAAATGAAAACAAAGTGGAGTTTACTTCCTCACCATTTGAATCTCGGCTGGCATTGTGACTGGCTTTGTCCAATAAAAATGTAGAAGTGATAGTGTGCCTATTCCAAGACGAGGCTTCAAGAGATCTTACAAATTTCCCCTCCCTGTCTTGGATCCCTACCCAGACATGAACCGGGTTGGTATGCTGGAGGATGACAGACCACATGGACCGGAGATAACCAGTCCCAGCTGAGGTCACACTAGACCACCTGGCCCAGCAGCTGGGCTAACAACTGACCCAGTCACACTCTGAGTGAGTCAAGACCAGAAGAACCACAAAACTGAGCCAGAGAAATTGCTCATTAACAAAATTATGATCTAAATAAATTATCATTGCCATAAGCTACTAAGTTTTAGGATGACTTGTTATACAATAGTGGTAACTGAGCAAACACTGTTTAATTCTTCCTCTTGCCCATTGAATGAAGTATAAACTCCCTATTTGGATACCTATGGCCTTGTATCTCTGCCCCAACCTTACTTCCAATATCAAGTCCCAGAGTTCTCCTACCAGATAGTGCAGTCTCTAATGCCTACAGTGTCTCCAGGGAAACCTTCATGAGTGAGGTGAGCCTGGAGGGGACTTTAGTGAACAGATGAGCTTAGTTAAGGACAGCCTCTGCTCAGCTCCAGCCTTTTATCATGTAGAAATGGGATCCCAATGTTTCCAGAGCTTTCCATTTTGTCAAAAGAAGCTGGAAATTTATATTTCCCTGTAAATTATTCATGTTTTTAAAGGCTAGCACCTAATCAAAAATTATTTTAATGCCATATAGGACAAATAAAATATATTAGTCTAGGAACTCCCAGATTTCAATCTCTGCTAGATTCAAACCCATATCTCCTGCGTGTGGTCCTTTTGTTCTGAATTTTTTTTACCTTTGCTCATGCTGTATACCTTACATAGCATACACTAACCCTACCTCTAAATATCAGCCCCCCAGAACTCAGCTCCATTCATTCAACAGCAAGCGAGACTGGTGTTGTTCTAAGCACTAAGGAGACATAATAAACAAAATACATTTGGAACTTATATTCTAGTAATCATCTCTGGAGAATAAAATTATAGCTGATTTATATTCTCTTGTGCTTTTTTTTTTAACCTAGAACATGATTTTATAAATAAAAAATATAGAACAAACATGGACAGGTTGAGCATTTAAAATGATTTCTTAAATTTATTTATTTATTATTTAGAGAAAGGGAAAAGGAAGGAGAAAGAGGCTGAGAGACACATCCATCAGCTGCCTCTCTATTGCACCCTAACCGGGGACCAAACCTGCAACCCAGGGATATGCCCTGACCAGGAATCAGGAATTGAACCAGTGACCCTTTGCTTTGCAGGATGACACCCAGCCAACTGAGCCACACTGGTAGGAGCTAAAATGATTTTTTTCTAGCCCTGGCTAGTCTGGCTCAGTTGGTTGGAGTTATCCTGCAACCAAAGTGTTGGGGGTTCGATTCTCAGTCAGGGCACATACATAAGTTTACAGGTCCTATCCCCCCTGGTGTTTACAAGATGTTTCTCTCTCCCTTTTTCTCTAAAAGCAATGAAAAAAAAAGAAGTCCTTGGATGAGTATTAAAAAAATATTAAGATGATTCTTTTCTAGAGCTTTGCATTAGGTTCTACTACTATCCTCTTTAAGATCCTGTTGTCAAGCCCTGGTTAGCATAGCTCAGTGGACTGAGCACAGGCTGTGAACCAAAGTGTCGCAGGTTCAACTCCCAGTCAGGGCACATGCCTGGGTTGCAGGCTACGGCCTCCAGCAACCACACATTGATGTTTCTCTCTGTCTGTCTTTCTCCCACCCTTCCCTCTCTAAAAAAATAAATAAATAAAATCTTTTTTTAAAAATCTTGTTGTTGTTACTCTTGGACTTATAATGAAAATCATCCCTTGAAGATTAATTATTCACACTCTGGCAGACCTAGAGGCAGAGGTGGATTTACTGTGAACGTAATAAAGCCTAATAACCAGGGTCACTCACTTTACACGGGATGTCTTCCAAGGCCCCGTACTTAATTTTTCCCTGCCAGTTGTTTATAAAAACTTTCAAATACACAAAAAAGTCAGTAGAAGTATACTCTGGACACCCACTACCTAAATCTACAACCATTTGTTTAGTTCATCACAGACTTATCAATCTATCTGTGACTCTATCTACCCATTAATCCATTAATCCATTCTAACTATTTTATGGATTTGAAAATTTCAAGCATCATTCACTTCATTCTAAAATAGGTCCAAAATAGTTCATTCAGCATTTACATTAAACTTAAGTTTAGTATTTGTTAATAGGGGTGTTTGGGGGATAAACAGGTAAATTTTCATGTTGTAAAATGCACAAGAGTTTTGACAAATGCCTACACATGAATAACCCAAACTTCAACAAGGTAACAAACATTATCTTGATGCTGGGAAGTTCTATTATGCCCATGCAATCAGTCCTTCTTCTCACTCCTGTCCCACAATTCTGATTTTTAAAAACTTTTTGACGTATAATTGCCACATAATAAACTACACATATGTAAAGTGTGCAATTCGATGTTTTGATGTATGCAGCACCATAATCAAGACAATGAACATATCCATCAACTCCTAAAGTTTTCTCATGCTCCTTTGTAATCACTTCCTTCCACTCCTGATTGGTCATTATGGAACAGTTATGATTGGACAAGGCAGGTCTTGGGAACTCCCTTATACCTGGACATAAGCAAAACAGAGCTTAGTGCAGGAAGCTCTTCTTGGTATACAGAATATGTGGGAAGCTCTTGTCAGCACACAGTAAGTCAGCTCTTATTATTTATAAAACTTGGGCCCTTGGTTGACCATGGGAATCCATCTCAGCAGGTAAATTCCTTCTCAGGATTCACATCAAATGAAATCGCCTTAGGTTCCACAATTCAATAGGAAGGTTGGCATTTAAGTAATCACCCATAAAGATGTGAATTTCACACTTAAAAGGAACACAGCCAACACTTTTCCTTATAACTATATATAACTTTTGGAAGTTGAAGACAAGACTATATATTTTTGGCTTTGTTTATTCCCTTTCTCTAAACATGGCCATTAAGTGGATTATGAATTAATATACTTCTGGAACCATCTATTAAACATTCTGTATACATTTCACTAAGCAGCCCTTTGTGTTGTCCAAATTCCCCTTACCTATTAATTTTTCATTTAAAAATTTTCAAGGAATATTTAGTATTTGACAATGTACCTATATATCCATTAACATGGAAAGTCACTCAGATATATTTTAAGACTAAAACAAGATCCCATCTATATCTAAATTTAGATAGATGAAGATTTTGAACAGTTAATAATGACTTCTCTGACCTGGCTGGTGTGGCTCAGTGAATTGAGCATGGGCTACGAACCAGAGGGTTGCCGGTTCGATTCCCAGTGGGGGAACATGCCTGAGTTGTGGGCCAGATGCCCAGTGAGGGTCACATGAGAGGCAGCCACACACTGATGTTTCTTTCCCTCTCTTTCTCTTTCCCTTCCCCTCTGTCTAAAAATAAATAAATAAAATCTTTTAAAAAATAATGACTTAACTGAAGAGACTTTTTTTGTGCCTCTATAATTTTCTAATTAAAAATTTTTCAAATTGTTTTGCATTGAACATGTAGTACTTATGTAACAGTGAGAATCACTCAAAATGTTTTACCCTCTCTACTTCATAACATATTTGTTTACAAAAGAAAATTCCTTTCTTCTTATTATACCCATGCTAAAGCCCAGTACCTATAGCAAGAAAAAGAAAAAAGTACAAACGTTAATGTGGTTTTGGTGACAGTTTGAGAGTAGGAAAATACTGAAGTCATTGTTTGGATTAGTCACGATTTTCAATATTTTTTATGCTCTCCGCTGCTACCTACCAATTCCATTGAAAATTTGCAGCTGAGTAAATAAAATTTTGGCATTGTGGTCTGTGCCGACGGTTCGATTTTAGCGAGATTTCATCTTTCAGGGAGATAATTGAAAAATACTTGCCGTTTAGTAATGTGACGATAGTTTAGTTCCAGGCAATTTATTGCAGTGGTTTGGGACTTAGATCGTGTAAGTAAATTCTTTTGCATGCGCTCTTCAACCTCAAGGGAGGATATAGTCTACATCCTTTTACGGGATTCTACAAACGGAATTGCCCCACGTCTCTTTATAGGCTGATTTCAGGGGGCAATATTTTGAAATTATTGGATTAGCTACCAGCCTTTGGATAAAGATAGTTCCTTTACTAAACGGGAGCCACAGTTTTATTCTTTTTAAAGATTTTATTTATTTATAGGAGTGGAAGGGAGAAAGAGGGCAGAAACATGGATGGATTGACTCTCCCATGCTCCCAACAGGGAACCGCCTGCGTGGCGGGCCTGGGAATCATCGGAACTTTTTGGTTCCCAGGCTAGCGTTCAATTCATTGAGCCACACCAGCCAGGGCAGGAGCCAGTTTTAATAATTGCATCTTATTTTCAAAATGTACCGAGATACCTTTTTTTAAGTTTCCTCCGCCAGAAAGTTCAAATAAAGAGCGGTAAAACCCTGTCTCCGCCCTTCTGTTTGGGAGCTTAACGCTAGATGACGGACCGCATCTTTTTACCAATGGTACGGTCTCTACTCGCGCGCGATCCCGCCTAGTCTGTTTGCGAAGGACCAACCAATGAGAGCACCGCTCTTTCAGCCAACGGCAACCAAAGAAATAAGAAGAGACAGTATTGGTCGACGGCTGGGACTGCTGCCCAATAGGAGCAAGCCATGGCCGCGGCTAAGGCGGGCCGCTTGAGCTGCTGGGGACGAGCGGTTGGAACCGGTCCTGGAACCTGAGTCTGCTGAAGAAACGGGTGCTTCGTGCGGCTGGCTCGCGAGCCCGACCGCGTTTCTCCGGCCGCAGGTGAAGAGGGTGAAGAGGGCGCTTACCTCCCCCCAGGTTTTGCGCTTCTGGCTGTGGGATAACTTCCCGGGCTTGGTCCCTGAACGGGGTCATAGGGACACCCCAGTGGTACCCCGCGCCCTGAGGAGGTCCGGCCATTCTGGGCGGCCTTAACCTCCCTGGCTGTGGCGCCCGAACTCGGGCTTTTTCGGGGTTTCTGAGGCTGGAGGTCGGGTTGGCGGGGCGGGGGAGACAGGAAGTTCGAGTGATCCCGGAAGTTGCCCGTTGGGAGGCCATTTCGCCGCAGGCGGGAGGCGATTTCTTGTCTGGCTGGAGTCATGAGGTTACCCAGCCACTTTCCCGGGAGCCGAGCCTCAAACTTTTCCTTTGCAAGTAACTGCTATCTTTTTGACCACCCGTTAGTTGCATCACTTAGGAGTTAACTTTTAGTTCTAATCCAGCTTTACCTCACAGCAGCACTGTGACGGACAAACTTTTACCCCCATTTTAAGGTGAACTATGTTGAACGTTGTAGGAAACCCACCTAAGGTTCCATAGGTAGGTAGGATTGACGGAGCAAGCATCCGAGCCGAGGTGGCCAGGCTCCTTGGTACCGTTTCTTATTTTGTTAATTGGGTGCCATCGCGTCCTTGCTGGTTGTGGACGTTGAAATCTGAGTGACAAACTTGGTAAGATGACTAGCGGGCGGTTAACCTTTGAAGCGCCAGCTCATAGCACAGAAAAATCAAGGACAGGATTGCTCAAGGCTTGGGGTGACTTGCTCACGGTCTTTTATTCTCGGCCAGCGGTTTTTCAATCGGCGTGCGGCAGGAATTTTTAAACATGGAATTCCTGTGTTCTGGCAGGTGTGGCTCAGCTGCTTGGAGCGTTATCCAGGAACGCAAGGTTGCAAGGTTCGATTCCTGGTCAGGCCACATATCCAGGTTGCTGGTTCCATTCCTGATCCCTCTCCTGTGGAAGGCAACCCATTGATGTTTCTCCCCTTCCTCTCTTTCTAAAACAAGGAGTGAAAAAATGGCCCGGGTGAGGATTAAAAACAAACAGAATAATGCAATACCTGATTAGTCTGCGGCACTGACCTCTTTTTGCTTAGATTGATAAATAAAAAATGACAACAGCCAACACAAGATCTGTCCAGTATGAATAAATCAAAATTATGCCTGCTTTTTGGTCAGGTTGGCAAATACATATTTTTTTTGGTGTGCTGCAGAATTTCAGTAATTATTTTATGTGCACCATGAGATTTAAAAGGTTGAAAATTGCTGCTCTAGGCACCCCATGGTTACTCCAAGGGCTGGAGGGACCAGTAGTCCTCACATTGTTGGGGAATTGTTGAAGATTTGTTCCAGAACTGCACTGGTTACATAGAACTTTATGCCAAGATGAAAAGGTTCTAGATCTCTGCTATGTCTGTAGCTCTGTATATTAGGGCTATGTTCTCAGTTGTTGGATTTTGGTTTTTTGAGGGGGGAATTTTTTTTTAAGGTGTATGGTGAATAATTCAATAGGCATTTAGCATCTGCTATGTACTTGAGTTGTGGAAGATAAAAATGATGAAGCTGATGGATTCAGCTTTGGGTTTTCCTGTTCTGATCAGAATGGGTTGCTTCTAATCAGAACTGGCATATGATAGGAGAGAATAATTTTTTAATATTTAGCTATCCTGAAAAATACAGAGAATAATTTTTAAAAGACCTGTGCATTCACCATCCAGATCTAACAAATCTTGGACTTTACCTTTTGATATAATTACTTCTTTTTTTAATCCTCACCCCTGGACATGCTCATTGATTTTAGAGAGGGGGAGGGAGGGAGGGAGGGAAACATCAAGGATTGGTTGCGGATCAGTGCAGGTCCCAGTCAGTGATGGAACCCACAACCCAGGTATGTGCCTGACCAGGAATTGAACCTGCTACTTTTAAGTTTATGATGCTTGAACCAACTGAGCCACACTGTCCAAGGCGCTTCGTTTTTGGTTTTGTTTTTTTAAGAAATAAAAATTACGCACACACAGCTGAAGCTTCATGTGCCCTGGCACCCTCCCCCTCCTGAATTGGGTATTCCAAGTCTAGATAACATGATTTCACCTGTTTTTCACCTAAAAATGGAATTGTAGTGGATTTGTTTGCAACCTGCCTTTTTTTTTCTAAGGGTTGTAATTTTTGAGGAAATTTCAATGTGTTGAGGTTCTTATTTGGAAGAGAGCTTATGATTATATCTTGACCTGAGGTTTTGCTTTACTTTGTTCTTCACTTTTCTGCATTCTTTCTGGTACTTCAGTCATTCAGATATCCTGGCTTGATCTTTTAATTTTATTATTGTCTTAATTGGCTGTCCTTTCGTTCTGTTTTCTGGAAGAGTTACTCCACTTTATCTTCTACTCCTATTACTTTTTTTAATTTTGCTTACCATTTTTCATTTCAAAGGACTCTTTTGATTTGTCTTTTTTCTCCTAGCATTCTTGTAAGTTTGAAAATATTTTTATCCTTCTTGCATTATCTTACTTTCTTCCCTCCAAATTTCTTCTGCTCATCTGCTTTGGTCTCCCTCATCTTGGAGGCTTTCATCAGACATCATTTGGTCCTTGGCTATTTGTTTATTTACTTACCTTTTTTAAAGGGAGACCTCCAGAAACCTGATTGGAAGCTGTGTAGGAGTGGCTGAACCTTACCATCCACTGGGCTTTTATGGTTAGATGTATGGACAGAGACCTATCCATTTTCTTGGGGGATTCACAACTATGAGTAGTAATAGATCTTTTTTTTGAGTTGTTTTTCTCCAGAGAATAATGCTCTAATCTCCTGCCTTGGGGCATAGAGAATGTATGTGAACCAGAGTATTGTGTCCAGGATTTGTGCAGGTGGAGAAGCTGAGTAGAAAGATTGGAAGTTGGTCACACTTTTCAGTTTGTAGAGTTGAGTTAACTCCTTGTTTTCACTGCTGTGCTACCCCTCATGCTGATTTTTTAACGTCGTTTTTCAATTACAGTTGGAAGTTTGTCACACTCTTCAGTTTGTAGACTTTACTTAACTCCTTGTTTTCACTGCTGTGCTACCTCTCATGCTGATTTTTTAACGTTTTTCAATTACAGTTTACATTCAGTATTACTTTTGAATTAGTTTGGGTTGTACAGCATAGTGGTTAGACAGTTTTGTCCCTTACATATGTGTTCCCCCTGATATTTCCAGTAAACACCTGGCGCCATGCATAGTTACTACAGTATTATTGACTATATTCCCTCTACATCTCCGTGACTATTATATAACAACCAATTTATACTTTGTTTTTTGTTTTTGTTTTTTTTTGGTTTTTTTTTTAAGAATTTATTTATTTTTAGAAGGGAAGGGAGAGAGAGGGAAACATCAGTGTGTGGCTGCCTCTGGCGTACCCCTACTGGGGGACCTGGCCCGCGATCCAGGCACATGCCCTGACTGGGTATCAGACTGGCGACCCTTTGGTTCGCAGGCCTCCATTCAGTCCACTAGCTACATCAGCCAGGGCCCAGTTTGTACTTCTTAATCACTTCAGCTTTTTTACTCCCCCAAACCCCCTCTCCTCTGGCAACCATCAGTTTGTTCTTTGCATGTGTTGATTCTGTTTCAGTTTTGTTTGTTCATTTATTTTGTTCTTTATATTCCACATATAAGTGAAAGCATATGGTATTTGTCTTTCTCTGACTGACCTGTTTCACTTAGCACGATACCCTCTGGGTCCATCCATGCTGCTACAAGTGGCAAGATTTTATTCTTTTCATGACTGAGTAATATTTTGTTGTATATATGTACCACAGTTTTTCTGTCTGCTTGTCTATTGATGGGTAGTTGGGTTGCTTTTATATCTTAGCTATTGTAAATAATGCTGCAATGAACATAGAGATGCACATGTTCTTTTGAATCAGTGTTTTGGGTTTCTTCAGATATATATACACATAGTGGGATCCCTGGGTCATAAGACAGTTCCCATTTTTAATTTTTTGAGGACCCTTCATACTGTTTTCTATAGTGGTTACACTAATCTGCCCCTCATGCTGCTCTTAAGCCTGTCTGGTTTAAGCCTCCAGTTTTCCTACAGAATAGGGTGAGGAGGTTTTTGTTCCTTGGTGGCTGGCTTTTTTGTTTGACTAGGAGACAGGTTAACTGTTACCGGCTTTTAACCAATCGTTTTCAACTCCATCTTTGAACACTGCCTTCTGTGGTACTTGGTTTCTATAATCCCCTCAGTGGTAATCAGCTTGCTTCTCAGGACCACTCAATTTCCCCTCTTTCCAGGCACTTGAGTTTCATCTTTTCAGGTCTATCATGTAATTACCAGTTATCAGTCCAAAACACTGATTTACATATCTTACATCCTGTTTTCTCTTGCTTTGTCTTTATGATTTTTTAATGACTTTTTTTTTCCTTTTTTCTTTTTTTTGAGGGGAGGGAGGTCATGTTCATGGGATTTTAGGAATGACTTAGAGAAAATACATATGCTTCATTCACCCTGTTCCCTCCATTTCCCTCCATTTCCTCTGTCCAGTCTGGTCTCTAACACCATCATTTTGGGGAAACTGCTCTTTTCTAGGTTATCTGTTGTTTCCACGAATCTAAATCTCAAAGCCATTCTTTCCCTCATTGGCAAATGACACACATTACCATTCTCTCTTAGAAACATTCTTTCAAGACACCCCATTCTCCCAGGTTTCCTCCTACTTTATAGTCTTGTTTCTGAGTTCTCTTTCTGTACCTCTTACCCTTTTAATGTTAGTGTCTCCAGTTTTAGTCCTTGGCCTGCTTGTTTTCTGTGTTTATTCCTTATTTAATCTCTCCTGTGATTTTAAGAAGCTTAGCTATGATGAGGATTCTCAAAGCTGTCCACTGCTTTCCATCTCCACTACTACCACCATTGTCCACTAATGCACGCTTCCACGGTAGCCTCTAAACTGGGCACCTTGATTGCACTCTTGCACCCCTATCGTCCATTCCTAACACAGAAGAAACTCTTTACAGGAGCCTTCATTGATAGTGTCCTGCCTTGTCAACCTCATTCTATACTGTGCACTCTTCCTTACCATAGTTACCATACACTGGTATGCCAGGTTTCTCAGCTGCACCCGATCCATGCTCACCAGGGATCTGTGTACTGATTTACTCCTGAAACTCTATTGGCTCTTATATGACCAGCTTCTTCTAATCTCGGCTCAGTTTTATTCTTTCTGAGAGGCATTCTCTCACTATTTTGTGTAAAGTGGTGTTTCTTGCCTTCCACTTTCAAAACCAAATACCATAATGTCTAATTTTCTCATTTGTTTCCCACTCACTAGAGTGTAAACTCTTATGCAGGAGCTTATCCCGTCTCATCTGTGGGGTGTCTGACCACATAACAAAAAATATTTGTTAAATGGAATTAGAGAAGGAAACAAATAATGCAAAGGATGGGGTAAATAAAGGTTGTTCGGCCTTTTTGGAGAAATTTGGTAAATTTCAACTTTACTAATTGAGATAATTTTGCAAGTATTCTTTTGTTTATCCTTTGTAACTTGGTGCTGTATTGTTTACTAAAATTGAATGTAGCATTATGTACACTTGTTTTGGTAAATTCAGGTCATGACAAAGAACCAAAAGAGGTCTGGGAGATTACTTTCAGATCCCAGTAATTCAATCCCCTTATTTATACTTTAGAAGATAGTACTATGGTCAGACGACTTCATGTTTTGAAAGGGCGAACTGGACAACTGGTCATAAGCGGTTGTTAGGAATAAAAAAGTGGGTGATTACCAAAATAGCTCTGCTTTAAATTGAGTAATTAAAATCTCGGGGTTTTGCCAAGAATGATTTTAAACAGAAATTCTAAAAAGCTAGATATGATTACATTGGCTATGTTTTATTTTTTACTAAATACTTTTTACAAATATTGCCTCCTCAGTGATGGCTCACGAAGCGATGGAATATGATCTTCAGGTGCAGTTAGATCATAATGCTGCCGAACAGCCTGTTCCAGCTGAAGGGGTCAGCAGCCAAGAGGGACCACCCCTGCTTCAGCCTGACTTGGCTGAAGTTGTCAGCAGCCAAGGGGGACCACCCCTGCTCCAGCCTGCTCCTGCTGAAGTGGTCAACACCCAAGGGGACCCTTACCTGTTGCAGCCTACTCCACAAGTGTCCATTGACCTGACAGAGGAAGTGGAGCTCTTGGGAGAAGAGAATGTGCAGAACATCAATCCAGGAGCTTCAGAGGAGCATAGGCAGGAGTCTGGCGCTAACCACACTATTCGAGTAGCTTCATTGGAGTCAATGAGCAGCTTCCTTAATGGGCTACAGCGACTTCATGGCATGCTGGAATTCCTGAGACCACCTTCGGACCACAATGTGGGGCCAGTGAGAACCAGGAGGAGGAGAGGGACAGCTTCACGCAGAGTGAGAGCCGGGGGGTCTCAGAGGACAGACAGTGCCAGGTAAATATCATGTCTGGATCGTGGGATTAGTACCAGATTGGAAATTATGAACCTTAGGCTCTGGTCATACCCCCCAGTGCTGCTGCTGATAAGATAGACATGTGACTTCTGATGAGTCAGATAACTTTTCTGAACCCCCATTTTCCCACAGGTCAGACGAAAATAAAAATGCTTGCCTTATTTACATAACAAAGTAATGGAGGAGATAGATATACTTAGATATTTTGAAAACTGGGTGGTAGTTTGTTGGCAGTGGCTCTTGTAAAGGCTGGTTTTTTAGATAATTTGCATCTTGTATATCAAAAAAAGTATTTCTAAACTTGCAAGTTCACTCCACTCACCCAGTTGTTCATGGCACTCCACATAGAGTGCAGACTAGATTTAGAGAACCCTTGCAAAAAGTAGGATGTGATTTAATTTGGAGCTTGTAAGTGGGGAAGTATTCTAGTTCTCACCTGAAAAAGTGTTGCAGAGTTGAAAATTTTTTTTTCAAAATTTTTGATTTGAACTTATGTCTTAAAGGGCTTAGCTATCAAGTCTTGACAGGGGTTTTTATAAAGAATAACAGTTGTCTGTCTTATGTTTTTAATTTCCTTTGCATTATTTGAAATACTGTATTTCACATTTGGCCTTTTAAATGTTTTCGTATTTAAAGAGGTTGAATTTTAACGGACCCCAAGTGTTTTGTTCAGAGTCTCATAGCTACCACATCAAGGAAATAGAGCTGGCATTGGGACCTGGATTCACTGATTTTCTACATGGACAGATAGAAGGAGATTTGAGCAGATCCATTTGTTTTCTTAACACTGTGAGAACAGTGCGATGATACTAAAAAGACAAGTAGCTAGGCCATCTATTTACCTGTTTTACAAATGAGGAAGCCTTTTGGATAATTTGTGATTTGATGGGGGTAACTCTGGAATTGGGATTGTGCCTTCAGTTGCAGAATTCAGTATCCCTTTTTTTTTAAGACTTTATTTTTAGAGAGAGGGGAAAGAGGGAGAGAAACATCAATGTGTGAGAGATACATTGATTGGTTGCCTCTCACATGCCTCCAACTGGTGGGGGGTAGGGAGCAGGGCCCTGGCCTGCAACCCAGGTGTGTGCCCTGACTGGGATTTGAACCAGTGACCTATGGGTTTGAAGGCACTCAGTCCACTGAGCCACACCAGCCAGGGCCCTTCTCTATGAATCCTGATGATTACAGTAATGGGGCTTGCTATTACCACAGCTCTACTCTAGTGTACTCTACAATTCTGGATGTGACCCATCAGGGATAATGGGTGTCTAGTTCTGTGTTGACAGGAGTTGCAAGTATGTGTTACTCTGTTATTTTAAGGTGTCATTCCCTCAGATTATGAAAGCAAAATAAGATTTTACACATTTGTGTGATAGGTGACTATCTTGTAGTGCAATTTAGGGGCTTTGTTGAAGTGATTAAGTGGACTGAGGATTTGGTGTCCCTAGGAACTAGCTGTGGCACCAAGAGGCCTCTCACTGTATTCCTCAGCCTTGGTTGTTCATACACTTGGGGATTTGATTGCTTTTAGTGGAGGACACTTAATAGTGTTAACTAACTCACAGGAGAGTGACACTTACAAACCTGATGTCAGTTTACACAGAGAAACAGAAATGCTACAGAAACCAAATTATATTTTTGGCATGGGTGGCATGATTCTCCCAGGAGACATTTTCCCACAAAAGATAAACAGTAATCAGAAAATTGCTTCATGTATGTAGAATCTGTGCTCTGGACAGAATTTAGATGTTGAAAAATGTTAGTCAAACAGTTTGACTGACTCATATGTTTGTTTCCACAAAGTGCAATAAACCTAAACGGACAGGGATTGTGTACAGAACATGGATTCTGGAGCCATATAAATGTGTCCTAAAACTTTTTTTTCCTAAATACTGTAAGTAAATTCCACAGTAAATTTACATTAAAAATATGCTCTATTACAGGACTGATTGCTTATACCTTCTGAATTTCTTGACATGAATTTCTCATGGTATTAGGCGTTTATTCTCCTGACAGACTCTCTGAGCCAGATGTTGAGAGCCTAGGTCAAGATGAACACCTCTTACCTCTGTATTTTTATAACATCCCACCATATGAGGGACTGCACTTTATCTTGTAGATACATTGGTGAACAGGACAGATCAGGGTACCTGTTCTCGTGGAGCTTGTGGAATTTAGGACTACAGAGGTTAAGCAGGGGCAAGAGCTTAACATGGTATTATTTAATTCAGAAATAATAAGGGACATTATTATCAAAATATAATGCACGGAATGAGGTGGATTTCTTGGGTTTCAGTTTGCATGCCCAAAGAGAAACCTCTAGCACTGCCTCCTATTGCTCTTCGTAGCTGCCCTTTCCTGTGTCCTGACCTGCCCTTGGAAATGCCTATTTTGCTATGTAAAAGCAATATTGGGTAACTTTTTAAAAAGTCACTTAATTTTTTATTTCTAGCTAGACCAAGAAATAGAAAACTCAAAAATATTAAAATCAGTAGTGAAAGAGGGAATATAGCTATCAGCCTCACAGAAGAAAACAATATTATAAGGAACTATTGTGAACATTTTTATACCAAGAAATTAGATAACCTAGGTGAAATTGACAGGTTTCTAAAAAGACATGAGCTATCAGTACTCTCAAGAAAAGGAAAATTGAGTAAACCAATAACAAATGAACTAGTAATTAAAATAAGAAAATTCCACAAAGAAGAGCCCAGAACTTCTCTGGTTAACTATACCAAACATTTAAAGGGAAAAATAGCAGCAATACTTCATAAACTGTTCTAAAAAGTGCAAGAAGCAAGAACACTTGCCATCTGGCTATCTGAAGCCAGTATTACTCTGATACCAAAACCATACAAAGACATCACAAGAAAACTATAGACCCCTACCCTTTGTGAATACAAATACAAGAACACTCAACAAAATGCCAGCAAATCCAATCCAGCAACATATAAAAAGGATTATATACCATAACCAAATACAATTTGTTCCAGGAAAGTAAAATTGATTTGAGAAGTAAAAAGCAATCAGCATGCCCTCACTGGTGTGGCTTAGTGGGTTGAGTGTTGTCCTGTACACTGAGAGGTCTGGGTTTGATTCCTGGTTTGATTCCTGGTCAGGGCACATGCCTACCAGGTCCCCAGGTGGGGGCTTACGAGAGGCAGCCGATCCATGTTTATGTGGCACATTGATGTTTCTCTCCCTGTCTTTCTACTTCCCCTCTCTCTAAAAATAAATAAAATCTTCTCTTTAAAAGAAAATCAGTAAGATGCACCATATTAACACAGTGAAGGGGGGAAATGACAGAAAAGCCACTTGACAAAACCCTGTCATAAAAAACAAAACCCTCAACAAACTAGGAACGGAAGAGAACTTGCTCACCCTGATAAAGGGCAACAATGAAAATCTCACAGCAAATCTACTAAATGGATAAAGACTGAAATCGTTACCCTTAATTTCAAAACAAGACAAGGGTGTCTGCTTTTTCACTTCTATTCCCCATTGTACTGAAGATTCCAGCCAGGCCAATTAGGCAAAGAGAGAGGCATTTGGATTAGAAAGGAAGAAATAAAACTGGAGCTATTTGTACATAACATAATCCTTGTATTTATCATCAAGTTGTGACAAAAGCCAGAGCCAAGAGGCTACATATTATATGATCCCATTCATGGAATGTCCAGAACAGGCAAATTCACAGAGATGAAGTAAATTAGTGGTACCAGAGGCTGAAGGGAAGCGGAGAAAGAGGGAGTGGCTGCTTATGGGTACAGAGTTCATTTTAAGTGTGGTGAAAATGTTTTGGGTGTTGGCCCATATGGCTCAGTTGGTTGGAGTGTCATCTTGTAAACTGCAAGTTTGCAGATTCTGTCCTGGTCGGGTACATATGAAAGGTAACTGATCTATGTTTCTCTTGCATTGAAGTTTCTCATCATGGTTTTCCCTCTCTTGAAAAAATCAGTGAGCAATGTCCTCTGGTGAGGATAAAAAATAATAATAAAAAATGTTTTGGAGTAAGATAGTGGTGATGGTTGCCTAACTTTGTGGTTATGCTAAAAATCACTGAATTGTACGTTTAAATTGTGAATCAGAAAGGACTCAAATTGCTATAATAATTTTTATGTACTTTTTTTCCCCCCTCACTCAGGGACTTTTTTTTTCCTGTTGCTTTTAGAGAGAGAAAGGGGTGGGGGCAAAAGAGAAACATTGATGTGAGAGAAACATGATCAGTTGCCTCTTGCACACCCTGACTGGGGTTCAGACCTTCACCCCAGGCATGTATGCTGAGAGGGGATTGAACCCATAACCTTTCAGTTCACGGGACAACACTCCAACCAACCAATCCACACCAGCCAGGGGCACATTTTTTTTTTTTTTAACAAGGCCAAATCTTCTATTAAATTGGATACCAAATAATGTTTATTTTATTCCATTTAATCATTCATTTTTAATAGAAAGCCCTAGTTTGCCATAAATTTTTGGTAGGAGAAATAAAAAAAAACTTTTTAAAAATTTTATTTTAATCGTTGTTCAAGTACAGTTTTCTGTCTTTTACTCCCATCTCAACCCACCCACAGAAATCAAAAAGTTTTTTATGTGAACAATCACCAACAGTGTTTCTGGGTAATGATATATCTTAATTTAAAAAGTTACTAAAACTTAAAGTATGTCACCTTTCAGTAGTAATACTTTGTGATTATTAGCTCATAGTATGTTCTAAAGTTCAGAATACCATTTTGGTTTTTAATATAGAATGTCATTAATTCCAGGCTATATGTGGAATATGGTTTGTTACCTTGCATGTGAGAGAAACTGAGGTATTGTGGTGGTCATGATTAAAACTCAGCCAGCCAGAAGGAATTAAAGTGTTAAATGAAGAGGTGGCTCTGGCCAGGTGGCTCAGTTAGTTGGAGTGTTGTCCCATACACCAAAGGGTTGCAGGTTGGGCATATGCGGGAGGCAGTTAATCAATGTTTTTCTCTTGTATCAGTGTTTCTCTTTCTCTTCCCTTCCTCTCTCTCTCAAATCAATAAACATATCCTTGGGTAAGGATTTTTTTTTTTTTTTTTTTTAAGTGAAATAAGAGGTGAAACAGTGATGATTGAAGCCAGGCTTTATACTGCATTCCAAAAGACCTTGATCTGTCTAGCTGCAGTGGCAGAATCCTATGAGACCATATTTGACCTACAGGGCCCTTTCTCTTCTTCTTCTTTTTAAGATTTTATTTATTTTTAGAGAGGGAAGGGTGGGCAAAAGAGAGAGAGAAACATCAGTGTGCAGTTGCTGGGGGCCGTGGCCCGCAACCCAGGTATGTACCCTGGCTGGGAATTGAACCTGCGATGCTTTGGTTCGCAGCCTGTGCTCAATCCACTGAGCTATGCCAGCCAGGGCTCCCTTTTTCTTCTTGCCCACTCCCACTTTCCCATCCTCTAATACTAACAGACAAATTGCTGAGTTGTGTCCTTTCAAAGAAATTGGCACATAGCCAAAGGCCCCTAAAGTAGAAATAGCTTCTAGCATAAGGGTCAGATTCTAGTGTGGGTTAATGTAATTGAGTAGAAAGGAGAGTGTGTAGACCATCCAGCATCTCACTAAATCTGCTATTTCTGCTTCAGTGTTCAAAGGTAGCATTTAATGGCCTAGAGATGGGTTGAAATGACTAGGATCTACCTTCAAAGTACTGTGGGTTATTTTTGTGATGGTGGTCCATTGTACTATAATTCTGCTGTCTTTCTCCATAAATAGGTCCAGAGCACCACTGGATGCTTACTTTCAAGTGAGCAGGAGCCAGCCTCCTTTGCCAACCACCTCTAGTGATTCAGGGGCTAGCAATCCTGTCTCTGAAGACTTGCAGATATCCAGTAGTGCTGATTCCGACAGTGACAGTTCCATAGAGTATGAAGAGGCTGTTGTCCCTGCAGAGGAACCTGGTGCTGTCATTTTAGAAGGTGAGTGTTTTATCCAGCTTCAGGTTCACAAGGCTAACATCTAGAAAACTTAGACTCTAAAAGGCTGGAAACTCTAAATACGTGTTTCAATCCCCACACACACACACACACACACACACACAGATGTTACAGATTTCTGCTTTACAGTGCAGCTTTCACTGGCCATGATTATATAGAGAGAACCTGATCTGACTTTCAAGTTAATGTGATCTGTGTCCCAGTGAATCATTTTTTTGTAATGACATTTTACATTCCCCTTCACTATCTTTGGACATCTGAGAAAAAAGTCGGTTGTGGGTTTTTGTTTTTGTTTTTTTTGTTTTGTTTTGTTTTTGTTTTTTAAGATATTTATTTATTTTTAGGAGGGGGGCGGAGAGAAACATCAATGTGTGGTTGCTGGGGGTTATGGCCTGCAACCCAGGAATGTACCCTGGCTGGGAATCGAACCTGGGACACTTTGGTTCCCAGCCCGCGCTCAATCCACTGAGCTACACCAGCCAGGGCTGGTTGTGGGGTTTTTTGTTTTACAAAAAGTTCTGAATTCATCACCCCATCTAGTCTTCTATTTTTTAGGTCCTAGTATAATGTTACATACTGTGCAAGTGGAACTTTTATTTAGCAGTAGGTGGGCAGAGACCCCCTAAAGCACATGTCTTGCTAAACCCTCTCATACTCCAGATTGTGGACTTTTCCTACTAAATGGAACCAGGGCTTTTTTGAGAAATGGCTTTCTAGGTCTTGGATAAGAAAGCTAAATGATGGGCTTAGAGCATTTTATTAGGCTAAAAAGCAAGGAAACCATATGAGTCTTCAGAATTATGTCACACAGGAGCAACATAGAAAAATCTCTTAGTGACTTCAGATGGGACAATTTCAGCAACAAAAAGAGTAATGTGCACTTGAATTATGAATTAAAATACATCAAATTTATGAAAATACTTTTCATAAGTATTTTAATACTTTTAAAACCTCGTTCATCAATCATAAATTATTAGAGCTCTGAGTCATTACTCTGAAAGCTTGTAAATAAAGAATTAAGCATTTAGCCCTGGCTGGTGTGGCTGAGTGGATTGAGTGCTGGCCTGTGAACCGAAGGGTGGCTGGTTCGATTCCCAGTCAGGGCACATGCCTGGGTTGTGGACCAGGTGAGGGGTACGCAAGAGGCAACCACACAATAATGTCTTTCTCCCTTTCTTTCTCCCTCCCTTCCCCTCTCTCCAAAAATAAATAAAGTCTTTAGAAAAAAAAGAACAATAATGGGAATGGGGCTTAGAATGTGATAAGACTGGCAAGATACTATTTTTGAAACGGGATGATGGGTGCCTATGGGTAAGTTATGCTGTTGTACTTTTATATATGTTTGAAAATACCTAAAATCAGTGGAAAAGATAAATTCGCTGATGCTACTTGGGAAACTGTCATCTCTTTTACAGTAACATTACGATTAGAAATGGTGAGTGAGTCGGGCTCTCCTGCTAGCCTTTGATACCTTATGACTTATGTCTTCTCTTATTATTACCTTTCCTGTCATTTCTGGAAACAACTTGGCAGAACCAGCAGGTGATATTTCAGCAGAGCAAGAAGTTGTATGTATTGGTGGAAGAGAGACCCTCCCCAATGAGGTAATATCAACATCCTTTTGAATAAAAGGTTTGAATTTTCATTTTAAAAAGGAGGCTATAAGCTACAATGAGAAAACTACAGGCTTTGAAAACAGGAGGTCTAGGAGTGGATCCTATCCAAGTTAGTCATTTGCATGACTTCTTTCTCTTAGGTTAAAAAAGATTGGGAAGTACATGGTGGAAATGTGAGGGTAACTTGTCCCACCTAAGTAGCAATTAAAATAGGAGATATGAATGTAGTTTGTGAATTGTCTGGCAGAATGTGATTACTATGTGATAAACAATATTTATTTTTAAAAAACATACATTATTAGCCTTCATGTGAGAGTTATTTACATTAACTGTGGACTGTGCCAATCCCAAAATATCATTGATCTACTTTTTGCATGTTTTTCTATGGTCTCCTGTTTTTATTTCTTCCCTCTAGAAAAATTTTATGTATGTGCAAATGTTCTATTTTAAAATTTCCACAAATGAGATAATATACCTTGTTTTTGTTCCTTTTCCTCCCAACTTACTACATTTTAGAGAGCTTGCTATTATCAGTATATAAAATTGAATCTCGTTTTTATTAATTGCTTAATAATAGTGTATCATCATATAATAAAATTTTAGTTAACTTTTCCCTTGTGTACACTATGGTTGTTCCCTTTTATTTTTTCCTAATACAAACCATGCTGCATTGAGCATCCTTGTACAAATGTATTGGCAAATTTTGTGCCTCTGTTTATGATATATAGAAGGAAGCAATCCTAGCAGAGAGATTGTTGTGTCAAAGGAAAGATGTGTATTTTAATTTTGATAGATAATGCCATATTGCCCTCTGGAAAATTCGTGCCACTCTCTACTTACAGCACAGTATGTAAGCATGCCCACTTCTCCCTCACCCTCAACAGTGCTTGCTGTCATCAGACATCGATTTATACCCTCTAATAGATGAAAAAATGGTGTCTTTATCCTATAATCCTTTAATTGTAAGTGAACAATTATTGACCATTTGTATTTTCTTGTAAGCTAGTTATATTCCTTGTTTTTCTGGTATTTTTCTTTGATTCATATGAGCCAAGTATTTTATAGCTTCTTTAGTTGATTTTGAACTTAATTTTGGATGAATAACAAACCTACTGTTCCCTGTTGTTGGTTTTCTGGATAACTGCTAGTGTGTGTGTGTGTGTGTGTGTGTATTTTTTATAAAGGTGCCTTTTTCTTTATTTGAATGAAAAAAATCAAATTCGTAAGATCAAGGGGTAGTAATATTTTTGTGGCTTGTATTAATTTGACTAGATTGCATTCTAGAAAGAACAACAGGTGATTCATAGGTGTTGCAGTTTTCCTACAGTGCTCTCTCTTGGGTTTATATTATTTTAGCGTGGTTTTGTTAATTTGATAGTTGTGTGTCCTCTTCAAGACTGATTTTGCATTTTCTGTCATTTGAATGTGTCCTGGTTTCCATCCAGCAGTCTCCCCAGAAGTCCAGCTCTCTTCTGCCTTCAGCTTGTACAGATGAGGAAGAAGAAGGGGACACTTGCACGATATGTTTAGAACAATGGACCAATGCTGGGGATCACCGGCTTTCCGCGTTACGCTGTGGGCATCTCTTTGGATTTAGGTGCATTTCTAAGTGGCTCAAAGGACAGACACGAAAATGTCCCCAGGTAAGGACTACGGGCAGGATCTGTGCATGTGCACAGTCATCTTAAGTCAGGAGGATTCCTGGAACCCTACTAATTGTATCCTGTTGGGCCCTTTAGTGCAACAAGAAAGCCAAGCACAGTGACATTGTTGTCCTTTATGCCCGAACCCTGAGAGCCTTGGACACTAGTGAACATGAGCGTGTAAAAAGGTAGGTAGAGTCTGCCTAGCTGGGTTGTTCCTTTTTGGTTCCTTGAATCACTCTTAGGGTTCTGAAGGTTTACTTGGGCTGTAGCTGGGGATCATTGGCAGTCTTGTCTCATGTTGTGATTTGTAATACATAGGTGTTCATCTTCTGAGAGAGATCTGCATTGTTTGCTCTCCATACAGCATTAACAATGAGGATCTGAGGTAGCAAGTAATTGTGATTTCAGCTATGCCTGAAGTTAAACTCCATGAGTTTCTCAATTACACAAGTCAGTACCTTGGTTTTCAATTTAAGTTTGCCATTTTAAAGTTTCTATTATAATATACAGAGTACTAACCAGTGTTGCAGAGAGACATGAAAGTAGGGCAGCAAGAGGAAGACTCTTGTTACTTCTATGTGCCTAGCACCTCTTGTAAGCTTCTGCTTTCAGAGCCTGAGTGTCATGTGCTGATTGGAACAAGTAGGTTCTGATGGAATGGAGCAGCTGTTTCTTCTGCAGGAGCACTTAGACATTCCCATGAAGTTGGAATCAACCTTAAGACTTAAGCCTTTGCCCTGGCTGGGTGGTTCAGTTGTTGTAGTGTTGTCCCACACACCAAAAGATTGTGGGGTTGATCCCTGGTGCGTCCAGGGGGGTGCGTCCAGGGGGGCAACCAGTCGATGTTTCTTTCTTACATCAGTGTTCCCCCACCCTCTCTCTTCCTGTCTCCCTCCCTCTCCCCCCCCTTCTCTTCCCTCCCCCTCTCTCCTTTTCTCCCTCTCTCTTCCCTTCTTCTCTCTCTCAAATCAATAAACATATCCTTGGGTGAGGATTAAAAATAATAAGACTCAAGCTTTTATTGCCTCTTGACCTTTTGCTAAGATCAAGTGTTGTATCTTTTTATTAGTTTAATATCTGATATGTCTTCTATCTGAGGATATTAAATGCATTTTTGGAGAATGAGGATGGAATAGGAGCTTGCTCTGTCCACTCTGTATTGACCAGGTATTGCAGTACTTCTGGGAATGGTGCATCCCCTTGGGATCAAAATCAGTCCTATGAAGGGTAGCAGTTTCTTACCGTTTGTCACAGGTGCCCTCTCAAAACACTCAGCAGGGCCCTGGCTGGATAGCTTTGTCCTGATAAGCCAAGATTGCGGGTTCATTCCCTGGCCAGAATCGACCAATGAATGCATAAATAGTTGGAACAACAAATTAATGTTTCTCTCTTTCTCTCCCTAAAATAAAATTTTTTTAAAGGACTTAGGCCTTTGGTAAGTATGACCTAGGGAGATCAAGACCATGGTGTCTTAAGGCCTCCTGAAATCAAAAGCCATAGAGAAACCTATAGCCCTGCTGTAATATCTTATACCTGGCATTGCAACAGAAAGATATCCTGGGTTTTTTGTAACCTGCCCAGATTCTAACTTAGGGATTACATTTACTGCCTGTCTCTTCTGCTAAATACTATGAACACTGAATTAGAAATTCCTGGTGTATGATCTTTGTAGCCAATTCATGGCCATCTGAAGCATTCTCCAAGTCTTAGTCTCCTCTTTGCTAGAACAGGCTTAATAATGTATATTTTTAAGAGGATCTAGTGTATTACTTAAATGTTGCCATTTTTGCTTATGGTGTTCCTAAACCCTCCTATAACAGCACTCCATACAGAAGACTCATAAATGAAAGTATGCAAGCACAACCTTTTGAGAAGCTCTTGGCAATATGCTTCAGCAGCCTTTCAAAGTAATTCCCTGACCATCCTGGCTCTATTGGTTGAGTGTCATCCTGCAGAGTGAAAGGTCACTGGTTTGATTTCCAGTGGGGACAGGCCTGGGTTGTGGGCCTGTCCCCTGTTGGGTTTGTTCGAGAAGCAACTGATCGATGTTTCTCTCCCTTTTCCTCTCTAAAAATAAATAAAATCTTTAAAAACATAATTCTTCAAAGCTGTAGCACATTTATTTATTTATTTATCTATCTATCTATCTATCTATTTATTTTTATTCTCACCCGGGGACATTTTTTCATTGCTTTTTAGAGAGGAAGGGGAGAGAAACATTGATCAGTTGCCTTCTTGTATGCATCCTGACCAGGAATCGAACCCATAGCCTTATGGTCTGTGGGATGACTGCTCCAACCACCTGAGCCACCTGCTGGGGCAGACCTGTGGTGCATTTACACAATGGAATACTACATGACTTTAAAAAAAAAAAGGGAAGTCTTACCTTTTGCGTCAGCATTGGTGGACCTGGAGGTTATTATGCTGAGTGAAGTAAGCCAGAGAAAGACAAGTACCGTATGATTATATGTGGAATCTAATGAACAAACTAAACAGAAACAATATAGAAACATAGGCATAGATGCATAGAACCCAGGAGACTGGATGAAAGAAGGTAAAGGGATTAGCCAAAGAATATATATGCGTAACCTATGGACACAGACAACTCATGGTGAATGGTCAGAGGGAAGGGGGAGTGGGGGCTGGGAGGAGGGAGTTAAGGGGGGGAATTGGACACATCTGTAATAGTGAAAATAGAGAAATGCGAGCTATACAGGCATTTAAGAAAAATGAATGAAAAGATTTTTAAAGTAATTCTACTTTGGGCATTTATTCTAAAGAAACAGTTAAGGATATGTGGAAAGATTTGCTTGATCTTTTTATTTAGCATTGTTAATCTAAGTCAAGAGAATTAATTGGTTGAGTGAACTGTGATGGAATACTGTACATTTCATTAAAACTGCTTTTGAAGTGCACATAATATGTTGTCATGTCAAAGCACATTAGTGTGATTGTATTTTTGTGGATTAGGAAAATAATGCTAGTCACTGAGGAGTGGAATTACAGACAGTTTTTATTTTCTTTGTTTTTTCTTACTTGCTCCAACAAACACTTATTGTAGCATTTTAAAATGGCAGTTGTATTATAGATACAATAGAAGCTTACTTATGAACTAAGTTCTCCTTAATTCCATCTCTTTACCCAGAGGATCTATATGTAGTATGATTTAAGAGGTTTTATATTTTATGTAGATGTTACTGGATTATAATTTTCCTTCTGTAGCTTGATTTTTTGGAGGGTGCTGGGGGCTTAGTATTATGTTGGGATACGTATCCTCGTTGATACATCTAACTATTTATTTCAGTTTTTGTATAGTATTTTAGTTCTCTGATTAGAATTTACTTACGTATTTTGTGGTGGTGGTGGTTAAGGTGGTTTGCAGTCTTTGTTAATAAAAGCAATGCTTCAGAGAGATTGGTGAGTTTCTTTAGATCTAGAAGTGGAATTGCTTTATTGTAGGTTACACGTAATTTTAACTTTCCTAGACAGTGTCATATTGCTTTTTTGAGAGGCTGTTTCCAGTCTGTATGTCCACCAGCAATATTTTTTCATTTTTTGTACCCTTGCCTACATTAATTTATCAGACTTAGGTTTGCCATTGTCATGGGATGAGGTAGTGTTTATCTAATCTGCAGTTCCTCAGTTGCTAATGAGGTTGGACATACTCTTTTGTGAGTTGTGTTCATATAGTTTGCTCATCTCTGTTGAGCAAAACATGATTTATAGTTTTTCATGTTTTCTTTATACTAATTTTTTGTTAGTTGTGTACATTGCAAATAATCCTCCCCTAATGTGTGACTTGTCTCTAACTTGTTTATGGAATCTTTTATTGAACATGAGGGTTTTTTTTATTTTAACATAAGTCTTTATCAGTTTCTTTTTTTGTGTGCTTTTTGGTCTCCACTGCTTCAAGGTCATAAAAACATACTATCTTCTTCTCAAGGTCTTTACAAATTTTACTTTTTAATAGAGGTTTTTAGTCTATCTAAAATCTGGGTTTTGGATAACCACTTGTGACAGCATGATTATTAAATAGTATGCTCTTTCTGTATAAATTTTCCTTGCTACCTCCATCTAAATTAAGTTTCTATGTATGAATGGACTATTCTTTTGTTCCATGGTCTGGTTGTTTATTTTTACTCCATTACAAGTTATAATTTATTGTAGCTTTAAATACGTTCTCTTACCTTGTTCCTTAAAATTGACTTTGCAGTTTTTAGCACATTGCTCCTCCATACTAATTTGCAAATTAGTTTGATAAGTTCCATGAAAACCCTTTGAGATTTGGATTGAAATTGCATTAAGTTTTTAGAATAACTTGAGAAATGACATCTTCATGATTTTGAGTCTTTCCAAACATGAACATTATATAATATCTTTCCAATTACGGTTTTCTTATGTCTTTTACAAAAGTGCTTTGATTTGCTAATCAGTTATATGGTACCTGGGGAATGTGATCTAATTTTCTTAATCTTGATTCTAGCACCTGCCGAACTCTTAATAGTTGGTAGGTTCTCCTGAATTTTTCATGGGATAAATAGGGCGACTTTATTCCTTTCTTTCCAGATTTCATCTCTTTTTCTGTCCTGTCTCGTTGAAATGGAAATCTTTTTTTTTCTTTTTGCATTTCATATATTCAGATTGTCTTTAGGTACATGCACATTTGTGATTTTTATTCCTGGTGAATGTGCCCTTTCATTATGCATTGTTCTCTTTATGCTTGTTCATGCTTTTTAATTCTAATTAGTCCTTCTTTTGTTAGCATTTTCCTGGTACAGGCTTCTTCTTTTTTTAACTTCATCCTCTTTTGTAGCATTATTTGAGTGTCTGATGAATGCCTGGTAGCTTATTTTCTTTTAATCCAAGAGATAACTTTACTCTTTTAACATGTCATTGTACTCTTTTATAATTTGGCCTTACCTCTGACAGTGAGCTTGGCTCTGATCTCTTGTTTTGCATTTTTAATCCTTATTGCTTAAGGAATCAAACTCAGTGTCTACTTTAACACTAGAGCCTAGTAGGCTCATAAGTTCAGCCCTGCATGCTATATTTCTGTATTGTTTCTGGACTTGAGAGATTTTTCTCTTGTTCTATTTTATTTACTGTCATAATTTATTTACAGCAAAGTGTGTATATCATAGCATGAACTTACTATGTCCCCCTGATGGGAAGTGTTCTGTAGTTTTCCTAATGTCTACCTATTGCTGGTTCTCCCCCTCCAGTGTCTTACTACAGGAGCAGATGCTAAGGAAGCAGGCCGAGTTAGAAACAGCACAGTGCCGACTCCAACTTCAAGTCCTCACTGAGGAATGCACTAAGCTTCATAATCGTGTCCAGGTAAGTTTGTCTTTTCTTTTTTTTTTTATAAAGAAATTTGCTATTTTTATTTATCTATTTATTTTTAAGATTTTATTTATTTATTTTTAGAGAAAGGGAGGGAGAGGGAGAGAGAGAGAGAGAGAAACATCAATGTGCGGTTGCTGGGGGTTATGGCCTGCAACCCAGGAATGTACCCTGGCTGGGAATCGAACCTGGGACACTTTGGTTCCCAGCCCGCGCTCAATCCACTGAGCTACGCCAGCCAGGGCTAAGTTTGCCTTTTCTAATCCAAAGAACTTTTGGGATAGGAATTGAGAAGGAAACTGAATATTACTCAGGCTCATCTCAAATACAAATAGGATTTATCAAGTTTTTCAGCAAGTAAATATGACCAGCTCTTTATTTCTGATTAGGGCATTTGTTCAAAGCATATATGCTTTTTGATGAATTCTACTGCAATCTGATTTTTTAAAAAATTAAACCAGATAATCCAAAAACAAGTCATTTCACCTTTCTGAATTTACCAGTAAGATGATGGTTTTAACCAAAAATGACTTTCAACTCTACTATGTATGATTCTGTGCTCTCTTTATTTCATTTGCTTGTTGCCAATACTGCAAAAACCACAACAATTCTCTAGGATGCATGTTAACATTTTCATATAATGGATAAGAAACCTCCTTGTATTCGATCAAGAAATTTTGCAGGAGGGGAATAACAAATGAAAAAGCTTACATTTACAAAATCTTTTCGTTTTAGGACTTGCAAAAACTTATTCTGCAACATCGGGATCAGCTATTACGGCATCCCAGGGGCTCCCAAGCACCATCCCAAAGCAGCTCGCGCCCGCGCAAGTACTGTTTCCAGAAGACCTTCACAGTGTCTCAGAGTGGAAACTGCCGAATTATGTCATTCTGTGAATCTCTGAGCTGCCTGGTGGTTTCACAGCCTTCTCCTCAGGCCACCTTCCTTCCAGGTGAGCTGTCTAGAGCCTCAGCTTTCATGTTTATTATTGGGCTCCATTTATTTCTCTTCGCCCTGTTTTGGAGAACTCAGGACTCACTAGTGGGTGAACACTGTCCACAGCCACCAAACCACCTTTTTTTTTTTTTTTAAGATTTTATTTATTTATTTTTAAAGAGAGTGGGAGGGAGGAAGAGAGAAACATCGGTTGGTTGCCTCTCATACGAACCCCCACTAGGAATTGAAATAGCCAACTTCCACTTTGTGAGACAACACCCAACCAACTGAGCCACACTAGTCAGGGCCAGATTAGCTTTTTTCGTGGTTTCCTGTTCATGCAAATATTTCAGGATACTGCAGAGGTGTCTTTACTGTCTGTTGACTTTAGTCTGTAAATTTATTCATCACAAGGTCAGAAATACTGAAAATCCATGACAAAGTAAGAATATGAGGTACTTGGAAGTGTGTGTTAATGGTATAGTCCAAGAAGGACTATGTGTTCCTATATGTCCCACTGAAGTTACAGATTTGTTTTAGACTGGAAATATTTGAAAAAACATTACCTGGAGGGTTGATTCAAATTAAAACAAGATTTAAGCCCTGGCCGGGTGGCTTAGTTGAAGCATTGTCCTGTGCACCAAAAGGTTGCAGGTTTGATCCCTGGTTGGGGTGCAGATGGGAGGCAAACAGTTAATGTTCCACTCTTTCTCCACACCTCTTCCCCTCTCCCTCTCCCCTGCCCCCTTCATGCCTCTCATCCTCCCTCCCCGCTCTGTAAAATCAATAAACATTTTTTTACATGAGGATTTAAAAAAGAAGATTTAATACTTATATTCAGGCATGTTCAAATTGACAGATTCCAAATGAAAAGAATTTGGGAATATATGCATTATTTTAACAACAGTACACTAATATTCTTAGATTTTATGCTTTTAAGGTTAATTTTACATCGTCCTAATGTTGAAAACCAAATCTCCTCATGTGCACAAATCATTCCCCAATGTTGATGTTTCTTTCTGCTGTCTTCAGCATGTGATTTTTGCCAACTCTCGGGTCCCTTTGTCTTAGCCTGTTATCATCTGTCTCCCCGCCAGAAGTTCCATCAAATGCTTCAAAACTATGTACCACAACTTTTTTATCCACTTGTCTTTTGGGCAGTTGGGTTGCTTCCATATCTCAGCTATTGTAAACAATGCTGCACTGAATATGGGGGTGCATATATTCTTTCAAAATAGTGTTTTGGGTTTCTTTGGATATATACCCAAAGAATATAAGGCTGGGTCATAAGGCTGTTTCATTTTTAATTTTTTGAGGTAACTTCATCCTGCTTTCCACAGTGGCTACACCAGTCTGTATTCTCACCAGTGCAGTAGGGTTCCCTTTTCTCCACATACTTGCCAGCACTGTTTGTTGGCTTATCGATTGCCATTCTGACAGGTGTGAAGTAATATCTTGTGATTTTAATTTGCATTTCTCTCACGATTAGTGACATTGAGCATCTTTTCATATGTCTGTTAGTCATCTGTATATTCTCTTTGGAGAAGTATCTGTTCAGGTTTTCTGCCCTTTTTTTTAATCCTCACCTGAAGACACTTCTTTTAGAGAGAGAGGAAGCGGGGAGGGGGAGAAAGAGAAACATCAATTGGTTGCCTCCTGTATGTGCCCCAACCAGGAATCAAACCGGCATCCTTCCAGTGTGTGGGCTGACGTTCCAACCAAACCACACTAGCCAGGGCTCCTGTGCCCATTTTTTAATTGAATTGTTTGGTTTTTTGGTGGTGTTGTATGGGTTCTTCACAAATTTGGGATCCTAACCCCTTATGAAATGCATCATTGGCGAATATGTTCTCCCATGCAGCAGGTTGTCTTTTCTTTTGTTGATGGCTTCCTTTGCTGTGCAAAACTTTTAGGTTGATGTAGTCCAATTGTGTATATTTTTGTTTTCCCTTGCTCAAGCACTTACATCCATTTTTTTTACATTCATTCTTTATTGTTTAATGCATCTTGAATGTTTGTGTTTCAAGTAGAATAGGGTCTCCAGCACACTCACTGTCTTGCCCTTTCTCCCTCTCAGCAGCTTCATTAAAGTATAATTGATATAAAACAAGCTGTACATACTTAAGTGTGTCGTTTGATGAGTCTTAATATACGGTATATACACCCCTGAAAATCATCTTCCGACCTGTCCCTTTCTTTTCTCATCCCCAGGCAACAATTGATGGACTTTCTGTCACTATAGATTAGATTACATGTTCTAGAATTTCATATAAATAGTATTATTTTGGTGGAGGGGTGGTCTGGCACCATTCAGTGTTAAGTTTTTTGAGATTCATTTGTATTATTTTAGTTTATTCCTTGTTAATTACTGGGTAATATTCCATTGTATATATATACAGTGGTTTATCATATACCTGTTGATACTTGAAGTGGAATATACTTTTTATAATAAGTTATAACCCTAGGAAATTTTATTTTTATTTTTTTTTTACTTTTTCCTAGGATCTTACTGTACTTGTTAAGAAAGGTGTACAAAGGAGCTACTTGGAAAGATAGCTTGCCCTAAGTTGGCCACCAGTGACGTATCTCGCCCTTATCTTTGGCAGGTTTTGGTGTTAAGATGTTCAGTACTGCCGACATGAAAAGCAGTCAGTACATTCCCATGCATAGCAAACAGATCCGTGGACTGGCTTTCAGCGGTCAGTCCAATGGCTTACTTCTCTCTGCTTCCCTAGACAACACTATTAAACTGACCAGGTGAGTACTTTGGGGAGGAAGGTGAAACTTGGGCTGTTTAATGTTAAATAGCATGGAAATTAATATTTGTGTTATGATGGCCTTAGCTTAGGGTTTTTTGATTTGTGTTTATTTTTGTTTTATTTGTTTGGTTGGGGGGGTGTTTGTTTTCCCCTCATTTACTTTAAAAAGTTCACAAAATACATCTTAAGTCATGCAGATAAGAGTAACATCCTTGAAATGATAAAGTGACAATATGGAGTCACCATACCAGTTTAGGACTGCTTATTCCTGGTCTATTACTTGGATCATTCTGCCTAACAGAAATGCTTACTGGGAGCTCACTGTCCTTGGGTGCCCTGATGACTTCTCTCATTGGAAGTAGTTCTGATTAGATGTCTGATAGTTGGCTTCCTGTTTAATTTCTGCAGTTAAATCCAAGGGATATGATAGCACACTCATGAGCAATTTGACTTTGCAAGAATGCTTCAGTTTAATATACTGTTAGTGTGTGTGTGTGTGCGCGCGCACTGTTAATTTTTTATCTAGTTAAAAAGGGGGGAGAGTACCAAAGATTATTAATTACTATCTCTAGTTGGTTGGATTGTAATTTATTTTTATTTTTCTTATATTTTCAAAATGGAATAGCATAACCAATGTAGTAAATAACTGGAGAATGTAATGGAAATACAGTGGGGATGTACTGTGTCTATGTTACTTTAATTTATTCTTACTTCCTTACAGCTCAAGGAGAGAACCTATGTGCTCCCCACCCCCAAAATATTATGGAATTATAAGGAGTTATTTGGGCAGTCCTTAGAGGAATAGTTTGGGTGTGGGGGTGTATTCTTAAGTGATCAGCATGAAAATAATAATATTTATAAATTTGATTTTCTTAACGCATAGTTGTAAAAGTCTCTTGTAATTCCACAGCCTGGACACAAATACAGTGGTCCAGACTTACAATGCTGGACGGGCTGTCTGGAGCTGCTGCTGGTGTCTTGATGAGAACACTTACATCTATGCTGGACTTGTCAATGGTTCAGTTCTGGTATATGACCTTCGAAACACGAGTAATTATGTCCAGGAATTAATACCTCAGAAAGCCAGGTAGGGAATCAACTTACTTATTTCCTGTAGGTAGCCTCTTTCTCTTAGACAGTTACTGTATTAATCCTCTCTTTCCCAGAGTGTTTCATGGTTGGTCAGAATTCCTCACAGAAGCCAGTTCTCTCTGAATCCACTAATCTATTCTTACTTAAGAATCAGAAAGATCCTTAGAGTTTATGTTCATGTTATTTTACATGGTAGAAAGATCTGATACCAGGTATAACCACCTTCATAGAATAACTCATCACCCAACGTGGCAAAATTAAGTCAGGTCTGCATTCAGTACCCAGCTCCACTTGGTATGAGCTATGGAATTTTGTCCTGTTGTGATCTTCATCTATAAAATACGGTCAGCACACAGTTGCTTTTATAGCCACATGTCTAACACACAGGAAGAAAACAGTAAAGGGCAGCCCAGTAAAAAGTGACTTAAAACTTGCCTAATCCACAGCTAAACCAATTTGGTCTAAGGATTCCATATTACTATGACCTATTTTATAATCCAGTGACAGAGTTGGGAGTTTGTGAAGTCAGTTCAAGTTCTGAGGGTGGATGGCCACCAGCCACGACTGTGGCTGTTCAGAATGTGTTGAATACCTCTTGGGCATAATGCTGTCCTGGAAGCATAAAGGTCTCAAAAGGAGAGTGGGGTTTGTGGCCTGGACCAAAGTGAGAAGTGTCTTAAGAGAGAATTTCCCTTTGTAATACGAATATATATTAAAAGAGGAGCAGCAGGATCTAAATACAAAGATATCAATCACTACAGTAATAATTACTGACTGAAACCTAGCCTCAACAATTTGTGGTTTTCTTTTCATTTGGATGGGGTGAAATCATGTTTCAGCAGTGTTTGTGGTCTGTGGGCCCAAAGGTGATTGATGTAAACTTACACAGATGTGAAATCCAGGCAAAGTAACTGTCATTAATGTAGAGGGACCCACACAGAGTAGACAATAAACGCAAATAGCAAGGAAATAATATTTGTGTGTATTGTCTTTATTTTAGTTTGCTTTTGGTTAGCTAACTGGGAAATGAAATAAGATGGCAGTGCTGGCCAGGTAGCTCAGTTGATTAAAGCATTGTCCCAATACCACCAGGGTTGCAGGTTTGATCCCTGTCAGGGCACAGAGAATAATCAACCAATGACTGCATAAATAAGTGGAACAACAGAATTGACATTTCTCTCCCTTCCTCTCTCTAAAATATTAATAAATAAAAAATTGTTTTAAAGCCCTGGCTGGTGTTGCTCAGTGGTTTGGACATTGTCCCACAAACCAAAAGCTGGCTGTTTAGATCCCCTGGTCAGTACACATGCCTGGGTTACAGGCCAGGTCCCCAGTTGGGGGCATGCAAGAGGCAGCCAATCAGTGTTTCTCTGGCACATAAATGTTTCTCTTCCTCTCTTTCTCCTTCCTTTCTCCTCTCAAATAAATAAAAATCATTTATAAAGAAAGAAGGCAGAGAGCTTTGGCAACTTTAGCAGAAAAAAGTTCATAGGAATGTAGTCTGTAAGCTAATATTTCTGAGGCAATTCTAGGCATAGTCTTAATAATATGCTTACAGAAAGAGACATAGAAAATATCTAACACAATCCTGTTTATAAATTAAAATGTAGTTGCTTGGGGATATATTTTAAATGAGGGGTCTGTCAATTGCAGCTTGGAAGATTTATTTAGATGTATAAGCTGTGTTCCTTTTTTTACTTCTCTATGTATGTGGCTAACTCCATTTCCAGAAGCCACATACTAGTCAAATTTTCTGGTAATTGGTACCTTGTACTAAATATCTTAGTCCATTTTTTTTTCATTACTTTTAGACCATATTGTGTCTCTTCCAAAATTGGATGTAGAATATTATATGTATGTCTTTTTATTTCTACAGAGTGGATTGGTAGTTTTTGTCAGATGTCAGAGAATAATGACTCATAGGTTTTTAACCTCTTTTATGGAGGTAGAAATGTGCTCAAGGCAGTTCCTGGTAGTGGGGTCTGGAATAGTCCAAGTATTAGAATGTGAGGCATGGGTTCCTTTCTTTCCCTTCAGGTGCCCGCTGGTGTCCCTGTCATACATACCCAGAGCTGCCTCGGCTGTGTTTCCATATGGTGGATTGTTGGCTGGAACCTTGGAGAATGCTTCCTTCTGGGAGCTAAAAACGGGCTCTTCTCTTCGGCCTCACGTACTGCCCATAGAGCCAGGGGGCTGCATAGACTTTCAGACAGAGAGCAGCACCCGACACTGTCTAGTGACCTACAGGCCTGGTGAGTGTTGGGATGCCCTCATGGGACCACCTGTGATTTGTTTGGGATCATATTTGTGGAAGAGAGGAAAGGAGAGCTTTCCCTATCCTTCAGTAGTACTGGTAAGCCCCTCAGACTAATAGCTCTTAACTACTACAGTGAGGATGATGACCCCATGTTTCTGCGTACAGCCTGCCTTCCTGCTCACTTGTGTGAACTAGGACAGATTCTGCCAGGTACTTAGGCCCTGGAAGTAAATCAGCCACTTTAGGAGCTCCTGAGACTTAGAACAGTAATGGAATAAGGAGGCCTGCTTTTGAGGCCACTGAGCCACTGTCAGATCACTTTCATGTCTTCTCCCTGCTCCTCACCTAAGAGAAAGGCCCAGATGAAGGCAGCCCTATAGGGCCCAGACTAGGGCATTAGATGTTCCTTCTTATTTGGGGCCAGCATAGTTTAGTGGAGAGTAGATGGACAACCATGGTTGTGTGGGCTTAGCTAGCTGAACCTCTCACTGCCTCCAGAACTAGGGTGTATGACAATCGTCTGTGCTTAAATTCATAGATTCTTTTTAGCCTGAAAGGTATGAATCTATGTTGATGAGCTATACTGATGGTTAGGTAGATGTTTCATCAGAGATAATCATCAAAATGCCCTACTTCTACTAGTTGTGGGTAGGTGTAATCATTTAAAAAATTTTTTGAGAAGTTGCCTCAGCAGAGTCTTCTGACCCTTTCAGTTCTTATAGGTCCTTGGTCTCCAAGACTGATGCACTGTGTGTGATGTATAGAAAACTTGAGCGTTCCATTTTGGTTTTGAGCTTTTGTTTACCTTCCAGCAGAACCACAGATGTGTGTTTCCCCTTTTACAATACAGTTTCACTTTGTAAAAGTGTACAGTTGCAGGGCTAATGGGGTCCCCACTGGGGAAAGGAAAAATAATGGTAGTCAGACGTAAAACCCAAGCAGAAGTCTGGCAGGATACAGTGATTTTCCTAAAAACGATAGTCTCCCATGGGCAGAACCTATTGTAGATAACTTAATCCTAGGCTAGGGCTCTGGATGTCATTTGTGCTGTATTAGTTTGTTGTTATTATTATTATGTTTGTAGCTATCTTGATGGTTTAATTGTGACTTTTGCACTTAGCTAGGTTATAAGTGTCTGAGGTATTTGTTATTTGGACCATTTCCATGGAGCAACACTTTTCTCTTGTCTCACAGATAAAAATCATAACACCTTACGAAGTGTGCTGATGGAGATGTCCTATAAGCTGGATGAAGCTGGAGAGCCAGTCTGCTCCTGCCATCCTGTGCAGACATTCCTGGGGGGACCCACTTGCAAACTATTGACCAAAAGTGCTGTTTTCCAACACCCAGGGAAGAGTGGCAGCATCCTGGTGTGTACTGGTGATGAAGCATCAAATTCTGCCCTGGTGAGCCTATTATTTTTTATATAAAATGTATAAAGCAAAAAGCTAAAGTTCTCCATGATTACACTTCTGCAAATTTGTGTGTGTGCATGTTTGCTTAGTTTAGTTTTTACACAGCTCACACTTTACATATTGCTATGTGGCTTGCTCTTTTCCTGTTTAACTTCCTGTCTTGGTTACTTTTCCATTTCAATATCTGTGGATTCACCTCATTCTTTTTATATAATCTAAAGTGTTCCATGGGCCATATTTTCAACCTTAAAAAAAAAAAAGACCACTGAAACGCTCTATAAAATAATTTCTTGGGCATCTGCTCTCTCAGTCCTGGGTGAGACCAGTAGATGAAGGGTTGGTGGGAAATTTCAAGATGCAGGGGTCAGCCTATTAACACCTAAACATGTAGATCAACCTTAGCATCACTGTAAGTGGGCTAACTGGGCTTTTCAGGAATAATTTGCCTCTTGATGCAAGGCAATATGAAGTACAGGGCACTTTTTATGAGATGTCGTTGAACCTTAATCTAGTCCTTACTTAAGTATGTAAGGGTAGCCCTAGCTGGTGTGGCTCAGTGGATTGAGTGTAAGCCTGCAAACCAAAGGGTTGCTGTTTGGATTCCCAGTCTAGGGCACATGCCTGGGTTGCAGGCCAGGTCCCCAGCAGGGGGTGTGCAAGAGGCTACCACACATTGATTTTCTCTCCCTTTTCTTCCTCCCTTCTCTCTAAAAAATAAATAAAATCTTTAAAAAAAATAAGTATATAAGAGTAAAATTACATGAAATTGGCAAAGAAAAAATAGAATTGATAAAGTAGGTGTAGTAAAAGCTTAATCCTCTGGGTAATGAGTTGCTCAGTATACTGTTCTACTTTTTAATACTTTAAAATTTTTTCATAATAAAAAGTTTTTAAAATAAAAAGTAAGCACTAGTTAGAAGTTCTAAATAGCATAAATAATAAAATATTTTTTTTGCCCTGGCTGGTGTAGCTCAGTGGATTGAGTGCGGCGTGCGAACCAGGCATCGCAGGTTCGATTCCCAGTTAGGGCATATGCCTAGGTTGCAGGCCATGGCCCTCAGCAACTGCACATTGATGTCTGTCTGTCTGTCTCTCTTGCTCTCTCTCTCTCTCTCTCTCCCCCCCTTCCCTCTCTAAAAATAAGTAAATAAAATCTTTAAAAAAACAATAATAATAAAATATTTTTTTTAACTAATTAATTTTTAAAAGAAAATAGGTTCCATGAGGCCAAGGACAAGGACTTTGTCCTATTGGCCCTTCTGTCTGTAAAAGACTTAGCTAGCACATATTGAAGGGATGACTGCTAGGTAGGCTTGGTATTAAGATTCACTGAGAGGTGAACTAATCGCTGATTACAGTAGGTGAGGCCATACCTGGATCATGTCAGGTGTGTTGATTTTATACAACCTTGGAGGGTTAGGGCTTTGTTCCCCAGACAGTGCTTTCTCTGCATCTCTTTCAAAGTTGATGGGAAAGAAAGCAAGTTTCCCAACTGAATTGAATGACTTTACCTTTTATCTTTGTCTTTTGTAGCTTTGGGATGCTGGCAGTGGCTCCTTGCTGCAGAATCTGCCGACTGATCAGCCTGTCTTGGACATCTGCCCTTTTGAGGCAAACCATAGCAGCTACTTGGCTACCTTAACAGAGAAGATGGTCCAGATCTATAAGTGGGAATGATCCTGGTCTTAAAACTTACAAGGCATGCTCCTGGTTAATGTTAAATGTTGTTTGCTAGCACCTAACAGTCTTGAGCAAGATCCCTACTTATTTAAGTCTGTGGCCTAGAACTTTTGGAAACAATGTTTCTTTAGTATTCTAAGACTCCAGATCACTGAAACACTACAGATTGTCTATTTGCTGTGTTCATCAAAAGAGTAAGTGACTGGTACTGTGCCTACATTATTCCTTTTCTTTGGTTAAAAGCCTTCATGAACCTTTGTTGAGAATCTGTACTTTCAGACTGTCTGCTGGATCACAGAGTGTATCCTCCCAGCAGTCTTTTAGGATATGATTGTGCACCGGCCATTTCATAGCCCCTGCTTGAGTGGTCTTGTCACATGGGCTATTTGGTTTGGGAATGCCTATGTCCCTGAAGGGACTAAACATTTGATGCTACTTGGATGCAGAAGTCTTCACTTGAACACAAGAGGGTGCTATACCTTGTGTAGGATTTGATCTCTTTCTGACCCTCTGGGCTGACAACCTTTTAGTAACTTGGTTTTATCCCCACAGAAGTGTGTAATAGAGCACATCTGGTTTACTTTGGCAGCCACAGTTATGTTCCAGTTGTGCAGTGCTAGGATATTGGCATGCTCCATGATGGAGGCAACTGATGAGCTACAGACAACTTTCCTAATGCCGAGTGCATTAAATTCATTGGATTGTGAAAGCCAAGTAAAGAGACCAGTTATTTGAGCAGTGGGGAAGCTTCACCCACCCCTGCCAGCCTAGGATCTCAGGAGTGGACTATTCCTTTTCCCTTTCATTAGGAAAAGATGAGTGAGTGATATGTTAAAGCTCTTGAATCTCCTAGGATCGTATCAGGAGTGATGGACTAACTAAAAGAGACTTAAAAAGAGAAGTTGCTCAGACTGCTGCTGTGCTGCAAATAGGAGAAGGCCTTGTCTCTTTCTTTCCGAAAGAGTTCCCACATGAATAAAGCCACCCCTTCTGAGTAAGGGGCTGTTCTTGAGCATGTAAAGCCTTCCCTTTGTGAAAATAATGTTCAATTCCAAGTTCTTTTGATTTGCCTCCCATCCCGATCTTTTCTAAAAGTGTTAGTAAAGTGGTTATTCTCAGGAAGGTAATAGTAGTTGGAGACCTGTGGGTTGCAGGAGATGCCCATTAACTTTTTTTTAAACTCTGGATTGTCCAAATTTGGGCACTGTACTTTTCTTCAATGGAGGGCTCAGGAGTGTGATTTTCTTAAATAATTGTTGTAGAAATGTTACTGTTTTTATTTTTAAATAGTTACAACCTGTAAACTTTTGAGCCATTTCTAGCATTTCTCACCAGCAAGGGGTTATTGCAGTAAATTTCCCCAGAGTTCCAATTTCTAGTTGTGCCTTTTAAAGAGCGGCCTTCTGTTTTGGGGATTTTTTGAAAAGCCAGTTTTCAGGGCCTGGGAAAGAGCCCCCTTTTCTCAGAGGAGATATTCTTTTTGATAAGTTAATGGTCAATTGCCCAGGCCTAGAGCTTCAGTGGCAGAATGGGATTTGAATTCAAAAGCAGAACACATCTGGCTTCAGTAGATTGTTACAGAGAGGGATGCAGATGTTCAAACCCTGGCTGCCTTTTGTCTTGGGCATCAGTAGGATTTGACTAGCCTTGGAGTACACTCAAGGGATGCTGATTGAGTTGCCTAAGCATAGCAGCCAAGGGACTTATTACCAGAGAAGTTGGGTGAATCTCACCTCTTGCCAGTCCTTGTATTCCTCCAGTAAATTTGTATGTTTTAGAAACAAATTCATGGGACTGATTTCTCCAAAGGAAAAAAACCCCTCACCTTTAGCCACCCCCCAACACCACAGCTGTCAGGAGATTGTAGACCCAGACTCTACAGTCCTGCTAGACCTAGTCCTGTACAGCACCCAGCTCTCCCTAGCATGTTTCTTCATTGCTCTAAGGTTGAAAATATCTTGTTGTATATATCCTTTTACCTGCTTTGAAAACAGGGCAGTAGGATCTCTGTTAGTGTGTTTTAATGTTTGTGTGTTTTATATTTTAATCTTAATGTGAAAATAAAGAACCTACCATGTTAAACAGCTCCTGGTGTCTTTTGTCTCTTTGACTGCCAGCAGAGGTGGGGACATGTTTGCTTCTTGGGAGAGGGCTATAATCCCAGCCTGATAGATTCTTCATTTCATGCCGTACTATTTTGAGTTATACAGTTACCCTGGATCTGACATCTTACTTAAATTGATGAGGTGATTGAGGCTTTAGCTAGCAATGTGTGTTTTTTTTAAGACAGGAAGAGAGGGAGAGAAACATAGAAACATCAATGTGTGGTTGCCTCTTGTGTGCCCCTTACTGGGGACCTGGCCCACAACCCAGGCATGTGCCCTGACTGGGAATAGAACCTGCGACCCTTTGCTTTGCAGGCCAGTGCTCAATCCACTGAGCCACACCAGTCAGGGCCTGGTCATTTGTTTATTCAGAGACCTAAGGGTCTAAATTCTGAAAACTACATTTCTCAAACTCCTTTTGAGAAACCCCATTAGCTTCTTTCAACCCAGGAGACAAGTTGGAGGATGCAAGAAGAGGAAAAGACTACCTTTTGTTTCTTTTCATCTTTGTCAGCTCTTCTAATGGTATCAACAGCACTGGGCAAGTGTGGACTCCTGGGTTCCTGCTCACAGTTCTCACAGTTCTGGCTACTTGCCTCAGTTTCTTTGCTCTGTTTAGTTCAGGAATTTCTGTTGTCAGAAATGGTGGTGTTCAGGGATTAGACTGGAAAGGCTGAGAATGTCTTTCAGCTGAATAGCAAATGGAGGATACTAGATTCCAGGGAGGATGGAGTCCATAGATGAAGTTTACTGTTGTCATGGAGCCTGGTGTTCCAACAGAAAACGACAGTTCTGGGGTGGAAGTAAATCCCAAGTTATCAAGAAACCCAATATTCTCTTCCACTGTGCTTTTTCCCCCCATCTCAGTGATTAACTGTAAGTGGAGTTGTGAAAATAGGTGTTTTTGTGTCCTGTCCTTTGAAATTCTAAAAAGAGATGTTGGTGTGTCCTGTCCTTTGTAACTTTTGTTTGTTGGTAATGATCTCTGCTGTTTATCCCTTTATAGTTCACAAAGCCCCTCCCAATACGTTACTTTTTAAGCAGTGTTGTAGAATAAGTATTGTTTTTCTAGTTTACAGAGGAAGAAACAGGTTTAAAATCGTATCAAAGGAAAATGACATTTAGGTGGTATTTAATTAGTTTTACATATCCTACCTAGTCTTTGCATTTTATACTTTTCATTACTGACAGCTATGTAGGAGTTGGGAAACCTGGGCAAAAGCTCACTTTCACTCTGATATCTCTGTTTCCAGAATACCTGGGCCAATTGCCCACTTCTACATTTAAAATGAAAACATCATAGTCATGCACATTATTGCAATTCTTTACATTCATCCAAACGCCCTCCTTATTGGGTTTCTCGGTGCTGAGGCTGGGAACACTGTTCAGTGGATGAGTCCATGACATGGGGACTAGAGCCACCTGTTCTGTGCTCGTCCCAGAGGTCAAGTGAGGAGGGGAAGAAAGAAGGTGATGGAGCTGCTCGGGCTTGTTCTCAGAAATACATGGACACTGTGAAAGAGCTTGCTTACCCAATTTTTGTGGAGAAATAAATCAGGGCTGGGGGCAAGGTGTGGCATATAGTGGTCATGAAAATGTGTCTCAGATCTCCAACTGTGGGAACTGTAATTGACCAACGTCCCAGCTGCTGTCCCCTGGAATTTCATCATGTTCCCTCTGAGGCCACACTCCAAGGATTGCTCCCAGTCAATGACTGAGAATGGCAGAGATGTTAAAACAGGCCCATTGCTGGGAGGCTTACATCCTAATAAGTTGTCCATAGCTAATCCTATCTGGAGAAGGCTTATAGAACCCAAAGTAATCCACCAGCCGGCAAGTAGTGAAGTACATAATGAAACCCAGTCTAGGCTAGTTCTAACTGCAGTGCTATCCCCAAGGCAGAAAATAACATAGGTGCTCAGAATATAATTACTGAATAAATGAATATAAACATGACATGTTGACAAGGGGTAAATTTTCCCAGGGAGGCTTTAAGATGTTGAGACTTGAGATAAGCATTCAAAGATAAATAATTTTAGGATGAAAGGGTTAGAACCTCATGGGTCCATGTTCTGTTTGATCTTAAAATCTTGGACATGGCAAAGATCGGGATATTGCCTGAGGAAAGGGAGACCACCAAGGCAGTCCTGTACTACAGCAATAGTTGCTGTAAAGACTGATGGCCCAGTACTGGCTTGGTTTTGGGGAAGAACATATTCTTGACAACCACAGTCAGAAATTTTTGAAAATGGCTCCAAGTGTTTGAGCTGCACAGTAAAGTTTGGGAAAGAATGCTTGTACTTCAGAAGCTGCAGTAGTCCTCAAATGGGAAAAATGGCTGAGAAGTGAGGGGGCGGGGAGTGCTCTGCCCAAACGTCTCTTTTCACCTTGCCTAAATAGTGGGTGACAGAGAGCAACTAGTGTGTTTGGGGGAAGTAGGAACATTTCCGCCGCTCAGCAGTGCAAGCAGTAGTGTCTTCACTGATGGCCAATACCCTACTGAGTGCTGTGAAGGTAGTTGTGAGGTAGTTAATGGCTACCTTTACTAGCTTTTGCTTGGTGATTAAATCACACACCTGCTGAATAAGCCTTCAGTGGTTTCCCATTGCACGTACTTTTAAGTATACTTAAACCTAATGCAATTGTTTTCTATTTATCCCATGTGTTCTTTTTGGGGGGACTAATCAAGTGCTTTCATTACAGTATTTTTTTTCTTCTATTAGCTTTTCACATACACATTCTTGTAGTATTCCTTTTGTGTTTACCCTAGACTCTAGGGTCTGGAGATTACAATCTGCATCCTTGATTTGTGCTGTGGGAGCCATCTCTCTATTGCCTATGTTATAATCCCTCATTATTGTCCACATATTTACCCTTTTGGTGCTCTCTATTTCCTCCTCAGTCCTGTGCTGGGGGGTCACTTATCACTTTCCTTCAGTCTAAGGTAATACAGTTCTGCTAGCAATGAATTACCTATCTCAGCTTTAGTTTGTCTGAAAATGACTTTCTTTCTTTTTTTTTTTTTTTTAAGTAGGACTTTAGCCCTGGCTAGTGTGGCTCAGTGATGGAGCACTTACCTGCGAACCAAAGGGTCGCTGCCTCGATTTCCAGTCAGGGCACATGCCTGGGTTGTGGGCCAGCTCTAGTGGAGGGCGTGTGACAGGCAGCCACACATTGGTGTTTCTCTCCCTTTCTCCTTCCCTTCCCCTTGCTCTAAAAATAAAATATTTTTAAGAATTAAGTCTTATTTTTTAAGCAGTTTTAGATTCATAGTGAAATTGAAAGAAGGGTACCTGGTCAGCGTGGCTCAGTTGGTTGGAGCATTGTCCCGTACATACACAAAAGGGTTGGGCCTTCAGTTCCCGGTCAGGACACATACCTTAGCTGTGGGTTTGATTCCCCCATTGGGGTGTGGGTAGGAGGCAGCCTAGTGATGTTTCTCTCTTCATTGCTGAATAATATTTTGTTATCTGTATGTACCAGTTTGTTTATCCATTCACCTATTGAAGGATATCTTACTTGCTTCTGAGTTTTAGCAATAATGAACAAAGCTACTATAAACATCCATGTACAGCTTTTTGTGTATGTACTAAGTTTTTTTCCTTTTTTTAAATCACCACCCAGGAATATGTTTATTGATTTGAGAGAGGGGAACATCTATGTGAGAGAAACATCAATTGGTTGCTTACCTCATATGCCCTGACCAGGGATCAAACCTACAACTAAACCCGCAGCTGCAGTGTGTACCCTGACTAGGAATCAAACTCACCCCCCCATCAGTGCACGGGGCACGGGACAACGCTCCAACCAACCAAGCCACACAGGCCAGAGTGACCTTCAGTTTTGAAATACATTTTCCTTGATTGTAGCATCTTAGGCTTTAGGCTGTAGAATCTTAGGCTTTATTCCTAGGGTATAAACCTTCTGAGGTCTCAGTTAAAAGCCCAGGTACTTGCTAAGGCCTCTGTACCTCAGCAGTGTTTAACTCTAACTTCTATTTTCTCAGTACTTACATGGCCAGTGAAATCTCTTCCAATTTATTGTTCCGTTAGCTATTATTTTCTTCTGGATCTGTTGATGTCTCATCCTGTGCCTGCACAGCTTAGGAATCAGCCAGTGACAAGAGAAATTTGTTCATAGATTTTTGGCTCTTTCTCTGTGGTTTCCTTCTCCAGTGTTTTGACCCTTAAGTCCCTGCCATTTGGGGGGCTCTGAACTCCTCCTACCTGTGTGTTTTTAGCCCAGTAAGACTGCTGCTTACTGCACAGGTTCAATTCTTTTGAGCCACAATTTGGATAGTACACTTGGGGAAAAAAAAAGGGCAGTGGAGGTTCCCCATATACTTTCCTTTTCTTAAAGATTGTATGTGGCCCCTTATTTCCTGACTGCATTAGTTTTTTTCTAATTTCTTCCAGAGATATTTTATGTATCTTATCTAGATTTTATGGTTTTATTTTAGTGAAAGTGGAAACTTAGTCATGGTTGGAATCAGAATCCTCCCTAATAACATGTATATGTAGGGCCTACAGGGCCCTGTATGATCTGACCCTTGACCAGTTCTTGACTCCTTTTAGTCCCCCACTTTTCTCATTTTAATTCAGCCACACAGACCTTCATGTTAAATGCTTATTCCCACATCACGGGCTTAAATTTGTTAACCTCTGAGGTTAACCTCTGCTTGTGGAGCACTTTTGCTGTGATCTAAATTTTTTGTCCCCCTAAATTCATATGTTGAAATCCTAATGCCCAATGTGATAGTATTAGTAGGAAATGGGGCCTTTTGGAGGTGCTTAGGTCATGAGAGTGGAACTCTCATGAGTGGGGTTAATATTCTTATCTGAGACCTCACAGAGCTCCCCGGCCCCCTCCACTATATCAGGACACTGAGAAGTTGGCATTCTGCAATCTGGAAGAGGGCCTTTGCCACAACCCCGCAGAGCTACACCCTGATCTCAGACTTTTGGCCTCCAGAACTGTGAGAAATAAATAAGCATTGTTTATAAGCCAACCAGTATGTTATTTTTGTTATAGCAGCCTGAACAGACTAAAACAACCTAGGTCCATTTCTTTACATAGTTGTCATCTTTATGCCAATTGGCTCATTTATTACTCAGTTTTTTCCTAGCTGCCTTCATGTAGAAGTTCCTACCCACCCAGCCAATAGAAGAAAATAAAGTATTTTTTTATTTTCTTTATAGCACTTAACACTGTCTGAAATTATCTTGCTCTCTCTTTACTGTCTTATTGTTTATCATATAAGCCAGTGCAACTGCGCAACAGATATCTGTTGAACGAATTAGGAAAGTGAGAATAAAAAAACAGGGTACAATAATGGGTAAAATGAATTCCTAGTTTATGACAGAGGTAGTATATTTTATCTTGAAAAGTCAATGAAGCCAGGAGACCCCACATTAGGTCAGCCCTCTTTCCAGTGACGTGGGGGTTTGTGACTTTTGGAAGTTCTAGGCTTGCTGCCACCGCCTGAGCTGGCCAGGCTCCCAGATTTCTCATGGTATCTTGCTTCTTGGTCACTGTGATTTCAAGATAGGCTCATATACTCTTCCCTATCTCCAGAGGCAATCTGTGGCTGGGCATAGGGTTTCCTCATTGCAGGATGAGACATAGGCAATTGCCGGCTCCTCTAAGCAGACTGTTAATTTCTAGCCTTAAACTGGCTTGAAATAATCTCCCACTTGTCTGAGCACATGCATATCTGTCATTGAAAATTAATAGTCCTTAGTAAGAACTACTGGTGATGTCTCTTGTGTGCCTGATTGAGACTTACCTATGCCATGTACCTGTTAATGAATATGTACACTTATCTGGTCTACCCTGGGCTGCCTTAGTCAATGCTCAAGGTTAGCAAAAGTCTGAGAGCCATTTTATGGCAGTAGCAGATGTGAATGTTGGTGGAGAGGCAAACATGCCCTTATTCTTAGAGCTAGAGACCTGGAGTCAGCCACAGTGGGCAGTTTGTACCTCCCAGGATATTCAGTCTCAGGGGCTCTTTATAGAGCCCCACCCCACATCCCAGGCTCTAGTTATGTCTGATTTGTTTTTGACTGCCCATTTGTGGGTCAGCACGGCCAAAACAGCCAAAGCCACATTTTTTAACATGTCTGACCAGCTGGTATCACGTGATTCAAGCTGCCGTCATTCCCCAACATGCTGGATTGGTAGAGTAGGATAAGGGTGCACCAGGACAGTGGGAAGCCCCAGGGACTCTGGTCCTAGGCTGGCAGAGTTCATCCTGGGCAGATCATTTAATCCTGCTCTGCAGAACTGTTACCATCTCTGTGCCATTCCTCAGTTTACCATATTTTGTCATGTATAATGCTTACTTTTTTGCCCAAATTTTTGAGGGAAAAATAAGGATGCACATTATATATGGGTATAATGACTACATACCATGGGTAAAATAATCCCATGTATAATGTGCACAAAAACATGGGTGCGCATTATACACGGGGACTTATACATGAAAAAATACAGTATTTCTTTTCAGTCCTTTTTATTTTCTTCATTTCCTTTCATCCTTTTCTCTTGCTTTTTTTCCCCTTTCCTTCTTTTCCTCCTATGATTCCTCTGTATAGATAAAATCACACAGTCTGATTTTCACTTTCCTGGTTTTCTGGACTGTTATAGCCTATGTAGTTTCTAAGGTTGTGGAAAATTTACTGTGGACCAATACCTCTCATTGTGGGGAAGTGGCAATTTTGTCCTCGGGGGACATTTGAAAATGTGTGAAGACATTTTAGTTGTCTTAGTCAGAGGGGGGTTTGCTCCTAAACGTCCTGAAATGCACAGGGCCCTTCCCCACAATGAGCAAGTACCTATTCCCAATGCCAGTAAAGTGTCATTGTGGACAAACCCTGTTGTAGATACGATGTTTGATGGTTGCATATTATTCTATTGTTTTCAAGTCATTTATTTATTTAAACACGTCCTCTGTTGTTGGATGTTTGATTTTTTTACCTAATACAAATAATATTGAAATATGCTCATGTGTTTTGAATTAACACAAAACATAAATATTCCTGTTTTCCTGTAAATGCTGAACCAAATTTCAGCAGTGGATATTGTAAATGTCAAACGATCGTGACAATTAGAACCCAACCCTGTCCTGATGCATGACTTAAATGACACAGTGAAAGTCAAAAAGCTTTGGGAAGATACCTCTCCTGAGGGAAGGGAGGGGACACTGGTTGAGTTGAAACAACCTATCCCTGCCTAAAGTGCTGCATTCAAGTCAGCAAGAACAGTTACCCAGGCACAGACTTAATAGGCCTCAAAGATGTTTTTTCTTTTCCTTGTTCTTTAAAATTTATTTATTTTTTATTGTTTTTCAAGTACAGTTGTCTCCTTTTTCCCCCTTCCACTCCTGCCCCGCCCCCCCATCTTCATCTTTTTTAAACATGAGTTTAAGTTCTGGCGTACAGATTCACGTGCAAAGGGCTTCACAGTTTATTTACAATGCTGGCTATAACTTTAAATTCCATGTTGTGGGCCAGGCACTTTCCTTTTTATTATCTCTAATCTTCACAATTATATTTTACATCAGAGCTCCTCTTTCTTTCGAGACGCAAAGAATGAGGTTCGGAGAAGTTAAAGAACTTGCCTAGTCTGCGGAAGAGCAAGAATTATAAGGGGTCTTTTCTTATCCCAGAATCTGTGCTCCCAACCCTGATTCAATACTGCCTTCTCTGGGTAAGAGAGACTTTTGAGGCGGGGTGAAGGAGGCAGGGAGAGATGAAAGAGACCCTTAGATTGTGGAGTACACCTGACCGTGTAAAATTCACCTCTGTATTGAATGGGCAACGTACTCTATCGGCCATCTTGGTTGTGGCAACCCCAATTCCTTTAGATTTTCCTGTGACGACAACCAAGAGAATAAGGCAAAGCCGTTCAACTTAAATTTTTTTAAGAAACACCAGCAACTCTCCCGGCAAAGAGCGCGGCTTTCTAGGCGGCGGAAGTCTCTGGCGTGGACCTTCCGAGCCGGATCTGCAGCGTCCCGTTCCCAACTCGCCGGTCCGCGCGGCCGGGGAGGGGCTCGGGAGGGCCCTGCCTGCCCCGCCCCCTCATTTAAATACGCGGCGCCCGCGGCTGCGTCGAGCTTGCCGCGGACCCAAGATGGCGGCGTGTGGACGTGTACGGAGGATGTTCCGCTTGTCGGCGGCGTTGCAGCTGCTGCTGCTGGCGGCTGCTGGGGCGCAGAAACTACCGGGCCAGGGCGGCCACAGCCAGGGCCTGGGCGTCGGGGCCAACTTAGTGTCTTTCGAAAGGCAAGCTGGAGGCGGCGGGCCGGCGGGTCAGCCGCTAATCCAGCTGCCTCCGTCATCTCAGCTCCAGCAGCAACAGCAGCAGCAGCAGCAGCAGCAGCAGCAACAACCGCCTCAGCCGCCACAGCCGCTTTTCCAGGCTGGTGGGCCTCCAGCCCGGCGGGGCGGAGCGGGGCCCGGCGGGGCTGGTGGGGGCTGGAAGCTGGCTGAGGAAGAGTACTGCAGGGAGGACGTCACCCGTGTGTGTCCCAAGCACACCTGGAGTAACAACCTGGCGGTGCTCGAGTGCCTGCAGGACGTTAGAGAGGTGAGGAGGCGGAACGGGCCAGGAGGGCTAGTCCTGTTGCGGGCCGGTGGGTGTCGCCAGCCTTGGAAGCCGCTGACGCCGATCTGCCGCTTACCTCGCTTCCTCTGTGCTGTACTTGCTTCTTCCTTCTCTGTCCCTTTCTCCTCGGCGCATTCCGAGAAGAACTCCCCCGCCCCGGCTCCCCGCCACTATCCCTCCCTGGTGCTGGGGTATGGGACGCAGACCCGGACTCCTGGCCGCAACCCGCCAAGGCCCGGAGTGTGTTTGTGTTTGTTCTGATCTATTGTGTGATGCTCTAAGCACAGTGGCTCCTCGCCGAAGACCTGTTCAGGATTTTGCCATCCGTTTCGACTTAACAATTTGCAGCAACCCTCTTTTAACGTGAAAATGGTTGGCGTACTTAAACGCTGTTAAAGAATGAACTGCTGTTTATTGCCAAAGATAATGTTTGTTTAGAGATCTCGGGTTCTGTCTGATGTGTATTGTAGTCAACAGCCGAATTCACTGTCTTGACCTCATTCTTTTGTAATTCGCCTGTTATTTACTGGGTACTGAAACTGATGTATGCTTTCCACCCTATTCACTTCTTTTTTCTTTTTTCATTTTAAGTTTAAGCAATTACTGCAAGTGACTTACAGTCCCAGAGCTTGAAAAGTTGGGGCAACATTTGAAGCTGTAATGCATATACAGTATTTGTGATTGGGTTGTGAAGTCTTGTCTTTCTGATGTCTGAATGTGATTTTAACAATGCCTCTTAATGAAATCTAGATTCGATGTTATTTGATGTGATTCAGTTAAGTGATAGGGCATTTCTTCTCTAGATTTAATGCTGCAGACATACGTGCAAATAGGAGAATTTCCAGTCAAAGTTTGAGGAGCAAATCTGGTAGGGATACTTAAAAAAAAATAGGTATATAGAATTAGGCCCAAAGGTTGACAAGTAGAATGAAGTTGCTGTTTGATACAGTTGTGTTTGACAGATTGTATCATCAGAGTTGCCTGAAGCGTTCATGGTCATGGGAAGACCACTGGTTTGTAGAGTAGTGCTACTCTTGGCAGTCCATCCCCACCCCCAATCCCATGGTGATATTTGGTCTATATTCTATACAAAGTAATTCTCGAGAGGAAAAGACATGCATAATCAGGAGACAGGGAGAAAGGAAGTTTCTAGAGCAGCCAGAAATGTGGGGCCTTCAGTGACTTATCAGCTACAACTTGAACACTGGGAAGATGATAATCTCTTGTATTCTCTGTGCTTCAGCTAGTCCTGTAGTAGATACAACTAAGAATCTTAACTCTGTCAAGCTTTTTGGAATTTTTCTGTTGGCAGTTGCACATATATAATAGAAGTTGCTACCTCAAACTAGGATCCTGGTATTGGTGACTGAACACGTTGTTAGTGGTTTGTGGCAAAACAGGACATTATCAGGACAAATGGCAAAAAGTGGCCTATTCAAGGAGTGCGCGTCTCTTTGTGTGCATCTGGGACACCACTTACAGGAGCAGTTTTCCTTTGTCAGGCATGTAGAAGTAGGTAGCAGCATATGTAATCCATAAATAGATCTGACCACTTTTGGGGAGTTTTTCATTTAGTAGGTACTATCTATCTGGCATTATTTACTGTAAAGAACTTGGCCTGGAAATGTAGTCCTTGCTCCACCTTTGCGTGTAAGATTCTCAGCAAATATATTGTTTCAGTAAGTACATTTTCTTCTTTGATGGGATGATATATAAACTCTTCCAGGGTAGTCACTGGGTCCATATTTCCTTTGTAACTTTACAGAGCACCTAGTTCAGCGCTGAGTCAGTTAATATTGTTGGCTGGTTGAGGATGAGCAAACTAATGGAGTCAGTTTTATGCTCCAGAAGAAGAAAAGGTCTCAATAATTCCAAGTTGGGGGTAATCAGGGGAATAAGGGAATTCTGAATTTCCAATTTAATTAATTTTCCTCCAATTTTATATACGTAAAAGTAGAGTGCCGTGAACAACTGTGTATATTGTTCAGAAAGTGGAGCTATTTTTAAACTTTTTTTCTTTATAGGTGGCAGAGGAAGTTTTATTCTCTTAGTTTGAGAATTAGTTAAATCTGATTTATGTGTTTGAAACAGCACAACTTAAAGTAAACTAGCTAGGTACATTTGAAGTGAAATTATGGAATATGTTTTATATTTTCTGTTCAGTAAATGGGACTATTGATGGGAAAGGAGACATATGTACCTCTTTATCCTTTGGGATACAAATTCAAGGATTTTTCTTTGTGTACTTGCTGTTAGAATTCTGAAAAGGCAAAACATATGGGTATTTAAATGGCTGCATAGTAAACCACATTTTAATTTTGAAACAACATGGGCTATGTAGTGTTAGGTTAAATCCCTTTTTTAATTTTAGTTTTCTGTTACAGTTTATATTCAGTACTTCTTTGTATTAGTTTCTGGTGTGCAGCACAGCACATGGACATTCACACAGATTATCAGGTTAAGTCTTTAGAAAACATGCTTTTTATTTTTTGATGAGAGAGATAGAGAGAGGGACATTGATTTGTTGCTCTACCCATTTATGCATTCATTGGTTGCTTCCTGTGTGTACCCTGACCAGGGATGGAACCCGCAACCTTGGCATATCAGCACGACGCCCTAACCAACTGAGCTACCCACCAGGGCCAGTTTAAGCCTTAAATTCAAATATGTTAACGTTCTCCATAGCGTAGTGTTCAAAGTTATATAGTAGTTCACTTACAAAATATACTTAAAGGCATTATGGTTACCTTTAAATAATTTCAACTGATATTAGTCATAGTTTGACTAATGCATCATTTGAGTGTGCCAACAAATTAAAAATATATGTAGAAACTATACTAAAATTGCATACAGACTCTAGATCTGTTTACAGCTTTTTCTCAGTCAGTTTGGCCATTATATTGAAGGTGTGTATTAATCCAGGGATTCTTCCTTTTTTAAATACTGTGTGATGAGTCATGTTTTTTAAAAGGTTAAGTATCCAGTGGGCCCACTGTTAAAAAGTAGGTGTAATAGTAGTGATGATAGGATAGTAGAGTTCTAGCGTGTGTGTCTACTGATTAGTAGTTCTAGTTAATGAAAAAAATAACTAGAAAGTATAGGGAAAATGAAAAATGAACCTCAGAACTGCTATGTCAACCAGCAGGACCTGGAGCCATTTTCCTGTGACATCCACATCGACTATATACTTTATAAGGCTGTTTCTGAGTTCTACCTCTCCTGTAAGGTTCTCAAAATTCTCATGACCCTCACAGTGCCTGCCCGCCCCGGCCCATGAGGCCCTGATGGCTACTCTGTGTGTGAGACACAGCCTACTCTACCACAACCCCAGCTCTACCAATGGACCAGCAGAGAGGTCACCATTGATCAGTGTGCTAAGGGAGGCCTGGATGAGCTGGATCTGGCTATGGCTCTAGCTTGTTGGTAGGCCACCTTCGCTGGCTGCGTGATTGGTATAAGGCTGCTTCTCTTGGCATCACTCTGTGTCCTGGTGGCTGGAGGAGGGGTCAGGGAAGTTGCCATACTGCTCCGGACCCCCAGTGTAGGATTGATGCTGGGGGCGGGTGCAGTCTATCTATTCCACATACAGGAGGTCAAGGGCTTATGTAGGACCTTGGCTGAGCTCCAACATGTGCCAGGAAGGGCATTGGAGGCCCAGGTCTTGGGCCCAGAGTCTCAGCCAGCCTTGTTCCTGGGACATCAGGAGGGTGACAAGGCTAAGGACCAATAAAGATTGACACTTAAGAAAGAGAGAAAGAGAGAGAGAGAGAGAATAAATACACCGTGAAGTAAAAGGTGGAAGAGTAGTTAATACTAATACAAGAGAAGATACGGCTCTTTAGTTAGTATTTGATAAAGAGATAAGACATACTTTGGTTAAGAGTAATTTTAAAATACTTTCTGTATTTTTGGCTGAAATGACTAGTAGTATCTTGTGTTTAGAAGTTTTAGATGGAGACGTTTGTTTCTGAGGAGTTTATTAGTGCTGTACATAGTTTTTCTTAGTTTTTTGTTTGTTAGATTAAAAAAACCTTTCTAATTTGGAAATTTCAAACATACACAGAATAGTATGACTCCCCATGTATGCAGCACCCGACTTTAACTAGCTTTTTTGGGGTGGGGGGCACAGGGTTTGGGAAAGAGGCATGTTTTAGCAAGTCCCAGTTGCTACCTCATTTTTTCTTTCATACTTTCATGTATGTCTCTGATAAGGACTTAAAAAATAAAACTAGAACCTAAGTATAATTTTTAATATTAAAAATCATCATGAAATATTTCTTCTGAATTTCTTGGTGTCTTCTTGGTATATTAATTTCAGACTATAAATTTGTAAACTATTATCTCTAAGCCATGCACAGAGTGAATGCTTTGCAAATATTTATTTAAGATGACCTTTTTTTGTATTGAACAGGAGTTAACATTTCAACATTACAAGCTATAAACCCACTTTCAAACTTATAGGTGAACATTTTTCTTACTATATTCTTAACCTTCACTTAACTGTGTTCTAAGATATAATACCACATTATCTGTAGTATGTCATTTAATACTTTTGTTAGCTATGTGAGGTAGATAGTGTTATCTTATTATCTTAGTTGAGAAACAGGCTCAGAAAGATGAAGTAATTTGTCCAGCATTATAGCCTAAGTGGTTGAGCTGGTATTCAGGAAATTCTCTTGGACTTCAAAGACCATCATTTTTCCAGTCTACCACGGATGGCTGCAGCTGGGGACATTACTGTGTGACTGTTGGAATGCCTGGCATTCATATAGAACCTTCTTCACTTCACCAACAAAAACAGTTGGGTAGCAACAGCTAGTATGCATTGAAGTATTAATGGATTTCTCAGGCAGATAGGCCAGCATTATTAGACAAAGCTAATTTAATTACTAGTCTGAGTTCATGATTAGCAGATTTCCTTCTTAATGAAAAGAATTTTTTTTTAGATTTTACTTATTTGTCTTTTTAGAGAGAGCAGAAGG